GTGCCTGTCAGTGCCTGTCAGTGCCTGTCAGTGCCTGCTTGATGTTGGATGGACATGGAGGCTTATACGGTCACACTGTTCTTATGTGTCTGCCAGTTCAGGCGCTGCATTCTATATTGGCTAAAAGTCAAGAGTTGGTGATTGTTGTCTTGCCTGCTTTGCTGTCACATCTGTTGAACGCCTATCCATCCGCAAGTTATATATTCATGCCCAACAGCTATGAGCTTGTGGGTGTTTGTCTCTGTGAATGTCACCGTCTCGTTGCAGAAGTAGCGTATAGAGGGATGGAATGAGACATTGACGATTTTGCATGCAAAGAATGGCCTGTGGGTATCGCAGTGAGCAGAATAGCCCCCATTATGGACACCGCTGAGTCTTGCAAGGTTGCACACGGCCGATGTTGATGTGCCAGCACAGTAGCGTGGCCAGGATGTAGCTGTTGGGAACCATCACGCGATGGCCGCAAAGCGCCCTGGTATTGCCTGCCTCAACACCTTAACACCTTGGCAGGAGCAAATCAGCTTCCTGGTGTTCGTGCAGGGTCGGTAGAGGTGCTGCAAGCCAGGCGCCAACCACTTGTGGATATTTATGGATTCTTTTTGGAGGCATACCCCACCGGGTCTGCGCCACCCCCCAGTGGGGCAAACGCCCCTGAGGACTCAGTCACCTGGGGGCGCCACGTGAGGAAGTGGCGGCGCATGCTGGGACCTAGGGGGGAGAACTTCCTGGCATACTACATCCAGAACCCTTTCGTTGTCAAGCGCCGTGTAAGGAAGGGAATACCTGACGAGCTTAGGGGACTGGCATGGCTGCATTTATCAGGTGAGGATGTGCATGGGCTCATATTTTGAAAGAGAGGCAATTTCTTTTCTAGAGGAAGAAGAAACACCACAATGGGTGACGCTCCTGACAGCAAAGAACTCAAAAATCTTCCAAATGGGAGAGACCAAGCTGAGGTCTTCAGAGACATGACAGTGGAGATTGTGAAGGCCGTATTTGGGCTCCTTCTTTTGCAAGACAATATGCCCCCTAAAGCAGCTCGTTGGCATGGTTTGTTGCTCTTGAGTAATGTTAGCATGTAATCTTGTGTGCTCTTGGCTCATTTGTGACCCTTGAATGGTTGGCCAGGTGGAAGAGAACTGCAACAGCGACATCGTGGTAGGTACCACGAGCTGGCGCATGCTGAGTGTGGACTGTCCTCACAGATTGAGAAGGACTTGCACCGCACGTTTCCGAACCATGTATATTTTGCTGAGGAAGGGGGTGAGGGGCAACAAGCTCTGTTTCGCGTCCTGAAGGCATATGCCTGCTACGATCCCGAGGTATGTATGTTTACCTATTTCGAACTCTGACCTTGGTGCTGGGGTTGTATTGGGTGATGCAATGGGCTTCTTGCCAGCCCTAGAACAGTTTGGCAATCGACCCAGCGAGCACCACCATAGGAAACGAGAATGGAAACACCTCGCGTAGAGTCGATGAATAGGTGCCCAAGGGAGACACACCGCAAATGCAGGAAGCACTTGTCAAGATTGTCACAACACAGAATGAGGAGGTTGGAATCGCACCATACCACAACATGCAAAAGGAGATCTAGCGGAGGTTCTGGACAGAACATGGGAGATGCAAATGAGAGAACATCAAGTTTCATTGTAGCATATTCACTTCAGAGAGATCGGTGTCCACATCAAGCTGCCCAGAGGCGAGAACAGCAAATAGTGGAGCTGCGTGATGACCAGCCAGCAACATCCGATCTAATGAACAGAGGATGACATATATGGGTTTGTGTCAAAATGTTCGTTGCAGGCCTTGAGCAAGCACCATATTTACACTGTTTCCTGTCAAGCACGTGATGGATGTGTCTGCCTGTTCATGAATTGGGCCTGAGAGGACTGTTGCAGCGATGTGCAGTGATTCCATAGATGGGTAAATATATACACGCATGTATACACACTGTTGGCCAACATTGGCCAATATATGTATATGTGCCATTTGGAATGGAAGAGGAATCGGAAGGTGCGAAAGTGCACAAGGGAAATTCATTCTTGAGGCCCCTGACCCCGCATTCCAGCCAAGCACAGACAACAAACATGACATCTGTTTAGCCATAGCACTGCTCCACAAATGCAGCAATGATCATCTTGTGCACTTGCAAATTGTTGTGTGCTTGTCTGCCAAAGGTGGGATACGTTCAGGGCATGAGCAGCATTGCTGCTGTGCTGCTTTTGTACATGTGCGAGGAGGACGCCTTCTGGACGTTTTGTGCATTGATGACACAACACGCCACGGGCAGGGAACTTGTTGTCGGTCCCGGTCCTGACTGCCGCAGGCTTTTTATTGAGGGACTGCCGCTTCTGAAGGCCATGTTCTCAAAGTTTGAAGCACTGTTGAAAGTGCAGACCCCCCGCCTGGCCACCCATCTCAGAGACCAGGGCGTGGACGTCAGCCTCTATTCTGCAAGGTGGTGGATGACGCTGTTCACCTTCACCCTGCCATTCTCGCACGTCGTCCGGGTATGGGACATGTTCATGCTGGAGGGCTGGAAGGCCGCACTGCGCGCGGGCGTTGCGGTGATGAAGTGTGCCAAGGGCGCCCTGCTGGGGCTGGATTTCGAGGGCCTCATGCAGAGGGTGCGGCCTGAGAGCCTGGTGGGGCTGGTCAAGTCGCCAGACGAATTCGTCAAGGTGGGTTGTGAAATGGAGGGCACCCTTCTGTCTGTTGAAGGCAGTTTGAAAAGATGGATGTTAGCCATGATTGGCAGATCATTGGGTCCTTGAGTGCCCCAAGGTCAGCGATGCGACTACTTCAGTACAGACAATCGCATGTGGTCCATACTCATCTTCTGTGTTCACATGCTGTAAGTACCTTGGTACCTTCTCTCCAGTGCGACACACCTCTCTTGTGCTGATCGCTGGTTTTCTTTGTGCGGTTTGTCAACTCCGCTTTGTCTGCTACGTAGCCTTTGTTTTTATTGCTCACACCTGCTTTCCTCCCTTTTCATCCACGTTCCATTCCATGTATTCCTTTTGGTTGCATGTTTATCCTTGTGCACTGGGGATTCTGTACCGGCTTGCCAGTGTCGGTGTTTCAAGCTGACAGGGATTGATTGATCCTGGAGGAAGTCCCATATGTGGCCTGTTTTCACATGTAGTAGTTCATTTATCCAATGAAGATGTTGTCGTTGTGCAGATTGCTTTGAAGATCAAGACATCAAAAGCTTTAAAAGGATCCAACAAACCATTAGTTGACTCAGCAGCGTGATCGGCATGATCGCCTTGAGTTCTTTGAATTGTCTTCTGGGCAGAGGCTTGATGGGGATCTGTCCTCTGCGGTGAAAACCAGGAAGCGCAGCTGGCTGTTTATTGCTGCAGGTGTGGGTTTGTTGAGCAGGGCATTGGACTCCACGGCTCCCTCACGCACTGCCTGTGTGAGTGCAAGCACAAACACTCAGGCATGTTGCCTGTGGGAGGCTAACCCATTGCCATATTTCATTGATTTTGGAATGAAAGTAAGTTGACAGCTTTTCGCACACAGCCTTGGCCGCCCGACTGAGTGCGTTTGCTTACAGAAGAGGGGGGAATGAGTTGGAAACCCAAAAGAACCCGTGGGTGATGCACAGGCACGCTCCACACATGTAGCCCAAGTTGTGGGTTGTAGTTCAAGGCGTTTTAGGCCAGCTTTGGGAAATCCTTGATGCCACTTTTGTTGCGAAGCTTGCCCTTTCCCAGTCATTGTCGAGGTGTCACATTCCCATAAAGTCTGCGGTCATGTGTGCTGTCTGGCTGGAGGGGCAGGCGACAGCGGCTGGCAGTAGTGTGCGTGTCAGGGCAAGCGGTGTGGACAGCCATCACTTCTTTCTGGCATAAGAATCGCTGGAGAGGTAGAATTCCAGCGTCATGGTCGAGGCCCCGCAGCACCTGGCCATGGTTGGGACTTGTTGAGAGTGACAGAGGCCGAGAGGGCCTCCTTGAGTTGTTCTTCTGGTTACCAGTTGTTGTATTCTGAACCAACGAACACCTGTGAATTGTGTGAATTAAAGTTGTTACACAAACTGGTGTGGTGGGCAGGCTAGTGCGCGGAGGTGCATGCCTTCCCAGTAGGTGCAGTGCCCGCATTTTGTTGTTTCTCCCTTTTGTTCCACTTTTTTGTTTTCTTTTGTGTACGGAGATGAAGGGACCTGCAGAAGCTGCGGAAATACAGGGCGCATAACTGGGGCCGATGAGACGAAAATATGTAATCAAGCAATGGGATTCTTGTTTCCTTCTTGGATGTTTTTGGGGATCTCGTTGTGTTTGGAACAGTCGACAACAGCAGTCACTATTTTGGTTTCGTACGCTCAACGTCAAACTGACGTTAAGGAAGGGTGGGGTGGGGTGGGGTGGGTGGGGTGGGGTCTCTGAGCTTAACGGCAATTTGAAGTTAAACAAAAAAAACAAAATAGTCTACCCTTACCTGCGTTATGGCTCGGGCACCGTCTAGTCTGGTCTTCTTGACCCTGGGGTCTCAACCGCTGGCTTTACACATTGTCCCAGTTTCACGGGTTCACTCTACATGAACCCTTCATGACTTTTGTCGGACGTAGTCGTCACTAGACCCGGCGGCGAGCTGTCGACAGTGCGTCAAAGACACTCTGATGAGGTGCACTGTGTGCACTCGTTTCGTACCTCGCCAGCCAGTGATCAGCTGGTGACGAAATGACGGGCAGTAGAAGTAGTAGAAGCCAGCAGCCAGCTGTTTCCCATGATATGCGCCGCGCCTTCCGTGTTTCTCTCGAGCACCTAGCGGGCTTGCAATGATGACGGAGAAGCGTGCAGAATGATTGCTTTCCAATTCTTCTGTGGACATGCCTGAAGGGTAGTTGCATGCATTGAGTAACCCACAGAAGTGACTTCCACCTGTTGGCGCCTTCTTCACATTCGAGCACCTGAGAATTGCACGCGGTGCACAACACACCCAGTTGAAGACCAAGGCATGCCAGGCCTCCTTGAAACTGGAAAGAGGCTCCGACGTGGCGTGTGCCCCAACTGAAGCTGCCCCAACAAACCCATGGTGTAGATGTGGCGTTCGCACCCAAACTCACCTGAGGGACCAAAGTCCAGCGACCACGCTACACGATCCCGAAGATCAGATTCATGCACTGTCTCAGAACCAGATCCTACGAGCATGCAAACCGGTGATTGGGCTGAACCTCTCATCTGCTCAGGCGGGTCACAAGGACCCCCATGGGACAACGCAGCCCAAGAAAAGTTCATCGCATCGTGAGGTGGTGTTCGTTAGCTCTGACGACCTCACGGCAAGCAAAGCTGCGGGGTCACTGCGACACAGCCTGCTTGCCCAGGAGGGTAAGGCCGTGGCTGCCCTGGGGCCTTCCGATGGCCGCTGTCCCTGGGTTCGTGTCTGGGCACAGGCGAAGGCACTTGGAAGCAGCACAAAAGGCCGATCCCGTCATTACGCTGACATGAATGTGTGAAGGTCATCAATTCATGATTTCTGAAGGTCATGAAAATCATTCTCGGCCTCCAAATGTTTGTTTTTCTAGAGTTTTTAAGCCCCTTGTACCCATCACGGCCATCACGGCCATCACGGCCACTCGATGAGTGGTCACAGACTGGATCGCATGCTGTTTCCTGGGAGCACTGCCCGACATCGCCAGCATGGTGACAGGGCTTGCTTCGCCATGATCTTGGCAAATGTCATTGCAACGGATTTCCACAACCACTCCATCATCTTCATGTCTGCAAATGACAGGCACCGCACAAACCTCTATCGATAGAACCTCGGACGCGGGCACGACCCGGCCGCGTCCTTCGCAGCCGCGTTTTTTCAATGCGCCCGAACAGCTGGACATTTTTTTGCCAACGTGTCCCCCATCTTCAAAGCGCCGACCGCCTGCCCTCGCTCCGCATCGGTTGGATAGTTTGGGTCGGGCAGGAGGTGACTGGCTTCCTGTGACGAGAAGGGCGAAGCCGAAACGGGCGGCAGCCGCGCGCAGGTCCTTCAGCCAGAGGCCCAGCGGCGCGGGATGGCCAGCTGGTCGAGTCCGGCAGCGGCGCCCGCCGCGGCGCGCTGCCGCGTGGTGTGCGCTTCTGGGTCCAGTCGACAGGCCGGCGCCGTGAGGATGGTCGCTTCGAGGAGGAAGGTGGGTCGCCGCCTCGCGCTTTTTGCGGATGCGGACACTCCCGCGTGCTGTCCCACCAATTTGGTCTGAAGCTACTGCGCGGCCCCTGGCCCAAACCTTCAAATTCGCCCTCCCATCGCGCCCCGTCTGCCATTCGAGATGTCAAGGATTCCCCTCCCTTAGAATCAATCTCCCACAAGGAGGAGCAGTGCATTCGCGGCTGCCTCTGCGGCGCCCGCGCCCGGCCAGAACCCCATTTGGCGGATCCGGGATCCCCGCGGCGGGCGGAATGATCCATCCGCCGTGGCAGCTTGCGGCTGCGGCTGCGGACTGGCCTTTCCACGGCGGGGCGCGAATGCCCCGCCGCATCGCGATGTGGGCGTCGGCCCCGGTGGGCCGTCGATTTCTGCGCCGGGAAGCTGGCAGTTCGCGAAAGAAGTCGCGAAAGAGGTCGCGAGCGAATTTGCCGGGTCACGTGCACCGCACTGTCGGTGACTGTCGGCGTGTGACTCGCGTGTGGCTCACGTGTGCGCCGTTGGCCGTCGGCAGAGGACGGGGCCGCCCGCGGGCCAGAAGGGCGCTTCGAAGAGATCCGGAGGCTCGGGCGAAGAGATCGTGCTACAGGGGGGCGGGGGCGACGACGGGAAAGGTGCCCCGCGGGACGCGACCGAGGACCCCGCCAGCGATCTCCTCAGGTTGGTGTGCAACGCTGTTCCGAGTGCGATGGCCTGTAGGGCGAAGCGAGGCCCCGTGCGCCTTTGTGGGCGGCGTCGGGTGCTTTTGGAGTCGCGTTCTGTGTGTTGCATCCCGAACTATGTGCTTCAGCTGCTCCACACATGTCGTCGCACACACACTCTCTGGATCTTGGTTTCGAGCCTGAGAACGTGGACATGGCAATGTGAGCATTGTGTGGATGGGACTGTGCCCAGCAAAAACTTGCAAAGGTGTGAAGGCAGCGCTTTGCTATTATTACCAACATGAGCCAGAGGTTCACCAGACATTGCTGACGGTTAGCACTTTCCATGAGCTTTTGGGTGGATCATATGCCTGTTCCATGCTTTCGTATGTTGGACATTCAGTCCTGGATTCCATTCTGCGAGGTGGGGCCATGCGTTATCGGATGCAAGGGGTTTGTTGTTTGTGTGGTGGGCTCATGTGCAGAGTGACAGCTATTACCAACTCGCCACGGTGTGACCACTTGCCATTGGGTTCATACTGGTGCCACAGGTGTCGCCATGCACCAAATGGCACCGCATTGGGTCACAACTTGCAACATGGGTACACAGAGATTGAAAAATGTTTGTGGCCCAATTTGGATGTAATTCACAGCAGCTTACTCTTCTTACCAAAGACAGCGCAAACCAAAGCTCGCGAGCGCTGGGAGCCACGCATAGTGCAAGGCGTATCCTACGCTGAGTCTGCTGTTTTCAACCATGCGAGTTTCTGTAGTTGCATCAATGGCTCCATGGCCAAAACTTCCTCTCACTCCTCGTGCGTCTACATTGTGCAGTGGTTTGTCGTTCTGGCAGCTGTGATGCAAAGATTATCGATGTGCCTGCTTCGCTTGATTTTCTGTTGTGTGGTGGCAGAGAAGCGCCAGACGAAGTTAAATTCTGGGCTCTGTGCATCCATGGACGCGGGGCGATTGTCAGCCAGCAGGGCAGCGAACAGAAAGTGGCGTCCAACGAGTGACAGCAGCTGCCGCCCCTTCCAGCGATCAGCTGACTGAAAAGTCAACGCAAGTGTACTCCCGTTGATGGGAATTGACAGCAGGATTACAATGAATGTATTAGGGTCAAGGTGACAAATTTTGAGTCCATGATTCTTAGCCATACTTTATTTTTGCTGTGACGCAGCCTGATAGCGTCACATTTTGGCAACGTGGGGCGGTGGCGTTCAGCGAGTGGCTGGATGTCCTGGCCCTGCAGTCTGCTGCTTGCGGCTCCAGGTTTGCCTGACGTTCATCAGCGCTCGGGTCACACTGGGCGTGTGCGGAATTTTGGCAGATTTTGCAAAGTTTGGGATGGTGGAATATTCTGAAGCTTTGGGGCTTCATCATCATGTCCAAGCGCGGATGGGGTTTGGTGGGTGAGGGTGGTTGTGGGTTTTCCTTCGCTTGTTCGGACATGCCAACAATGGCATTGCTCGGATACCCAAACGAGGCTGACATTGGGCTCAAACGTTCTCTTGCAGGGGTGCTGGAACTAATGACCGTTGTTGATGGCGCTGGCACATGCTGTGGACCACGGCGCAGCACGTAGGCAGAACATTTTGTAAGCGAATGGGCCCCTTGCGGCGCCTCGGCGTCGAGCCCCAAGTTGACACCAAAACTGCGGTTGCCCACTGGAGATCACATTCACTGATTCATGTGTGACCAACGGGCGCCGTCTTCAATCTACTTCCATCCACTTGTATGCGTACCCCACGCTTTGCCCATATCCAGCATTTTCATGCATTCATATACACCCACTCCAACACTCGCTCCGTTCGTTTCCCTTCCGACAGCCAGTTTGTTGGACCCATACGTGCTAATATTGCAACCGATTCCTTGGCCAACAATCTGTCTCAACTTCGTTCCCATTGTCCTTTACTTATCCTCTCGCGCATATCTAATGCACACGCGCATCCCCTTGCTATGCATCGATCCTGCGCGTCCCACCCATACAACCCAAAACCCGCCTCAAGTCCAACACTGGCCCTCTTGGGTGCATTGGTGGTTGGATCCGTCACATGCCAATAACGATGTGGTGCTGAATCGCAAGCTGAGCTCGTGTTGTGGGGCAGCCACCGCAGGCAACAGACTCTGCAGCATGCAGGTTAGCGACCTGCTGCTGACGATGGGCCATTGAGGCACAGCCGCTGCCGGACAGTGGGAGCCACGCCACTGTGTAGGGTGTGGTCTTGCAGAGACAAGTTCTTCAAGGTGCGGGTCAGCTCTGGTGCATTTCGCAGGACTACAGCCGCCACGACTATTGATGCTAGAGCGCTGTGCAATCGACATCTCGATCAAATGACTGCTTGGCAACAGTTACAACATGACGGACTGCTTTCCTCCATCCACAGATTGTCTCGCTGGGCACGAGCGACCCAGCAACACAGCGCACATTCGCCGCGGGCAAGCCCCAAAGGTTTCCTCATGGAAGAGATGTATTCCACAGTTCTGACATCACGCCTGCACACCGTGGGCGACGGCCATCACAAGCCGATCCGATCTCCACACAAATGCGGCCTGGTGGAGACGCAAATGGGGTTCAGCTGATAATCGACGGACAACAGAACGCAAAACCTGCGACATCTCCCACACCTGAAGCAACTATACAAAGCTGTATACAGACAACACACAAACCGCCCATTGGGCAGGACTGCACTGCTCTGGGGTTGTGGCACTGCAGGTAAGCTAATAAATGCAACCTCGCAAAGTGGGGCATTCAAGACTACGTCACAACCCAACCAGTGCGATACAATCTGCACCAAAACAACACATGCTTACCAACACTGCCCCTGCCTTGTACGTTGCCATTGAGGACACAAAAAGATGATCTCCAGGACATCCCTACACGGTAAAACTGTTCTGTGAGGACTTAACCTGCGATTTCTGTGCTGTTCCACGTCGAAAGCAAGGAATACCCCTCACCTCCGTAGTTCAACTTCTTTGTTGAAGGTCTCTATCGGTACCTCCTGAGGCTCAGAGTGTTTCTGCGTTTCCAGCCAGCCCTCCTTGACGGACGGCAGTGTGTGTGCCTATGGCCCTTGCCCACCAGGCCTCGGTATTTCCTGCCTGAGGATGTCAGACCATGCATCTCGCGGTGCTTGTGGACAGGTCGGCAAATCCAGTCGATGCGGGGATCCTGAGTAAGCACATGTGTCCATCGTCAACAAACTGGCCCAATTCGATTGAATGATTGACCGATTGCTGAGTACTGACCAGGCAACAAACCAACAGCGTGTTGCTGAACCTCGGTGAAATAATTGGATCTGGTCAACCTCACAGTGACGGAGGCTAAGAAAAAGGAGGACTGCAAGCAGGCGCTCCAATTCATGAGTGGCACATCACCGTTTCAACATCGCCATAGCTGGTGCAGGGAGCAGATCTGTCACATCTTGATCATGTCATCATTTCGAACTGAAAATGATGACAACACCACTCAAGGGTACTTAACCGATCATGCTTGGGAACACAAGCTGGTCCCTCAAAACCAAGCAGCTGACATTCGGCTGGGACTTGCAAGTATGTAGGCACTGGAGCAACTCCATGGATACTCAGGAGACAAGACTCTGATTCAAGTTGTATTGCTTGACCAGGGCAACACTCTGAAGCCTTCGATGTAGGAAGGCCGATTTTAACTCTATTTTTAAGAGGGCTCTCATTCCATAGCAGAAAATTACACAGGGAGAACGGGAGACAACTTGTGCTGCCCTGCACTCACGTTTCTGATCGCTTGATGGAAGGGTTCCACAAGGATGACCTCACAGTACTTGTAGGTACTGTCCTGCAACAATGCACAGCAGCAGGGAGGGCGTCAAAACTCAAGGTGCCAATATCTGCCAGTGCAACAATCCAATGCAACAATCCAGTCATCTAGGAGACTAAAGTGTTGCAACGAAGACTGTACCAGAGTCAAATGTGCAGTGTCACTGCAATGCATCTTCCATCTCACATATTGGGTTGCTTTCATGAATTTTCCTCTACTGCACACACCTCTTCAGCAATTGGAGCCAAATTTGCGACCTGCTTCTCCTTAAACATTGGTATCATTGTACCAATTACCAAAAGCATCAGGTCCATATTGTGTTTCCAGCATCTGCACTGCAAGGGAAATGAAAATCGCTGCTACTGCTGGCTATACCTCGTTGATCCAATAGCTGTTGAGCACCCTTAGTGCACCACACTTGCGCCCAACCCTCTCCTCAGCCAGGGACTGATGATTCTTCTTTGGCTTGATGGATGTGATGCCCTGGTGCACAGGCTTGCCGTACACGATGCCTTGAAAGAAAATGCATCCAAAACCCGCCAGGGTGCATCGTGTGTGAGCCACCACTCACACACCTAACCCCTTTGGCCGAATGCTGGGCCCAGGCGCTTGGAAAGCAGCCCCTTGATCCCCTTGGCGTTGTTTCCGGTCACCCAAGCAACTGAAGCACTGTGGCATGGCCCCCCTGCCACAGTTTAGCCAGCCCATGGCACGACAAGGGGAATGGGTTGCTGCACGACCAGGAGTTCGATCGACAGCAGTGAGGGTCCCAGTGTTGCAGTGAATTGATATGTGGTGCAATTGTGATGATTGTATTCCATTCTATTCTGTGCAGTTGGAGCTGCTTATTGCATTGAGTTCTAAAACATCTCGTGAGGTGCAGAAATGAACGTATCTTCACAATTCTTGCTCACGAGGGGCTCTTTGTAGAACCTATCTCTACTGTTTAAAACAAGGAACCTTGACAGTCTTGCTGTGTGTGGCACTTCCCTCTCTGAGCAACCAGACAAACTCCGATGAGAAATGCAAGACTGGGCGGATCAGCGCACAGGAGTCCGGATTTCTGAGCCAACCTGGGCAAGACACTGACTGCCACGCAACAGCTTTCGGACAAAGTCGCACAATCTACCTGGCGCTGGTGAAAAATCACTTCAAGACCACCCACTCCGATAACAAACAGGACCACATAGTGCTGGGTCCAAAGCTTCAGCGACGCGATCTCCCTGACAGAGTGGGCGGTCGGAAGGGCGGCCGTCAGCACTGAGGGACGCCGAGCCTCCGTTCTGATTGGGGTTGGATCCTAATGAAGCAATTGCCCACAAAATGACCGCTCATCTGTGCAGTACTGGGTAGGAAAGGCCGCCAGAGAGGCAGCGTTTGCTGCACCACACCTTAGGCGCCTTCTTCTTCCTATTACCGCGCCTCACGCGCACCCTGTACACGACGAAGCCCTGCTTGGCCTTGTAGCCCAGCTTGTGCGCCTTCTTTGTCCTCGAGGGTCGCGTCAGCCGCACGATGGACGGCCACTGCCGGTACTCCCAGGACCGAATGCGGAGGAGGTAGCGCAGCACGTCGCTCTGCTTCTTGCGCCAGAGCTCCTCGATTTACTGTGCGCATGAGGGGCGACCATTCATCGACACGAGTGGGGTGGGTCAATCAATTCTGCCGATCCAGGCAAACCCCGAATTCGCTGCTGCTGTTTGCAAGATTTGACCCAACGCCCCAGAGACAATGCCGCCCGCTTCGCCACCTTTGCCTATCTTGAGAGGCGAACGGAGGACAAGCCGCAAGATGCAATATGCGGGTGCGACGAGGAGACTGGATTCGATCAGTTCGGTGGCGGCCAGGAGCTTCTGGTGAAGCGCCAAAAACGTCACTGCGTTCTTTGCCCAGCGGTTGTGTTTTGTGAGCTCACCTTGTAGGCGCCCATGACACCGTAGGCCCGTGCACGGCGCCGGCCACGGGAAAACGCTGGGACGAGTTTCAGGCAGCCACCATCGGAGTTGGTTTGCTTGGAAGTAGCTTCAGACGTCAAAACAAATGGAGTGGCGACAAGAGTGGAAAAAAGGTATGGAATGGAATGTTGATATGACAGTGACTGGTCCATCATTGAGAGATGGCTGTATGACTATAAAGGGACATGCCTGTTCGCGACCTATCTGTAACTCTGTTCCTTCAGCTGTGTCCCCAAGCTCGTGGCTGTGCCTGCCTCCGATACAGTCCCACTCCGAACCTAGCGTAGCAATGTGACGCACTGGATTCTTCATTATCATCATCATCATTGTGAGGGCGAGGAAATTATGGCAAGTAATTCTAAGGGGAATGGTGATAAATATGGTGTGACTAGACACGGTGAGCACGGTGATAAAAACATGGTAGGCATGGGAATGGTGATCATTAACTGGGGACATTTCCTGCGAACCTATTTTGGTTGATATGCTTGTCTTGTAATGAATCTGCTTACGACCTCGCTTCCCGTGCCTGGGAGCGACCAAGTGCGGACCGAGCGCGAACGGTCAACGCAACAATCATCATCATCATTTCTTAAAGAACAAGGCAATGAGGTAGCCGTCAGCTTCCTATTTTGCCCGAGCGAAGCAGAGTCTGTGATTGCTTCGTTGAAATCTAATGTTAAACACAAGCAAGATCTATGAGTCTATTAACTCTTGATGCCTAGGAGCGATTGTCGATGATAATACATCAGACGAAGTGTCCTCGTCAGTTGGCAAGCGGGAACCGAAGCAAAAGGCGTTTTTGCAGTGCGACAGGGAAAAATACAAGAGTGACTTCGGCGGATGATATGATAGGCCTGGTAGTGGGAGGGAAAATGGATCCTTGGATCCACTGGAGCCTTCACCTCTCCATCAACAGGCAGAAATGACCGGTTGGCATGAAGCACGTTGAGCGCACAGGATCGCTTCTAACGCCCGCTCCAACAGGACTCCGTAACACCCCTATTAGGCAGACACTAAAGGTCTGTGTAAACCGGCCCACACCCGGAGCCCTCTCTTCTCGTGCCGTTTGCATGCTCATGGACGACGTCCCGCCCACGCCATCGCGTTCAACGCAACGCACAATGCTTGCACCAAAACCACGCATTTGGAAGTGGAGATAAGTCGCCAGCGCTTGCCTCAGCCCACCAGAACGGTTCCAAGTTGGGACAAATGTTGGGACTCCCAACTGTCCCCGCCATTACTCGTTGGGAACCTCATACATTTCCATTCTTGTCTCTAAGTGAATCGAAATGAAACAGTGCTCGTTTACAGGCCATCACGCACGAATGGGCGCATGTTCTCGTGGTGTGGTTGACGTGAGCGCCCCGCTGCGTGAGCATTAGTCAGGGATTCCTCTCCCGGTGTGTGGCTGGCCTTGAGTGCATAGGCGGCCAGGCCGCGCTTTGTGCTGACACCCCGTTGTTCGTTCCTCCGCCCCCTTGTTTTCCCCATTGCCAGCACCCTCCAACCGCCACGGCCGCCTCTTCCGTGTTGCGTGGCAGCGGCGGCAGCGCGGACGCCGGCTATGGCGGGCGTGCAATGACGGCCGACGTGCGCCCTGCCCGGGCGGCACCCGGCGCGGCGGGCTCACCACCCATAAGGTTCTTCTACTCCCACCTGCACGAGGCGATCCGCGCGGAGCTGGACGCAATCTCGCGGCTGGCCCTGGGCCTGGAGCCCGACACGGAGGGCTTTGGGGCGCGGCTGGCGGCGGTGGAGGAGCGCTGTAGGTTCCTGGAGCAGATTTACAAGTACCACAGCGTGGCGGAGGATGAGGTGGGGGGTGGGGGACTGGGCCTAAGCGGGGAGGGATTGGGATGAAGGGAGTGGACTTGGGGCGCCTTGAAGCGGTTTGGAGGCTTCTTCAAGGCGTCTCGTGGGGGATGCGGCGTGTTGAATGTGGTGGACTGGGGCGCAGGTGGTGTACCCCGCGCTGGAGTCGAAGGTGAAGAACGTGACGCAGGCGTACAGCGTGGAGCACGACGACGAGGTGCGCGGCGATCGCTGACGGGGGGCATGGAGCGGCCCGGCGGCGGATGGCCGACCGCCATTGCGACCCCGGGGGTTGGGGCTTGAGATGTTTCCTTGGAAAAGGGGAGGGGGATTAGAGAGTCATCGAGGGGAGTGGCGTGTTTCTTTGGTCGCGGCATTGCCGCAATTTCTCTTGCCGACGGGGAGGAGGCACGGCTGGGCTGCAGCTCCCGAGGAGAGGAACGGCGAATGTTCACCGTGTTGCGGTGGGAGATGCGGAAAATGGCATCTGTGCTCGATGCGGCACAGCGCCGTGCCTGCGCGACGCGCAGTGGTGAGTGATTCGATGAACGCGCAGGTGGAGCTGCTTGAGCAGCTGAAGCAGCTGCTGAGCGGACTCGCCGCTCAGGAAGGCGCGGAGGTGGTGGCTGCTGTGAGGTGAGCAAGTCATATTGGGGCTAGCAATAGCACTTTGCATTGTTTAGTGTTAATTCGGTTTCTCGCGCTCATTCCCTGAGCCGTACGGCAGATTCTTGATAAAACTTCACAAAGTGGAAAATGCCTCAAATTCATCTGCGTGGGGCTGAGGCAGGCCGGTGTGTGGTTTTCATCTCCCTCGCTACCCAGTGACCCCTGGTGAAACCACAGTCCACCTCAGCTACCTTGTGCCAACTTGGCAGCCACTATTCCAAGAGGCTTAATAAGAGCCTAGTGCAGGGCCTACATAGAGACTGTCAATAAGGGAGAGATGGCACACTGCCTGATGAGGACAAATGTGCAGAAATAGATGCAGCACCACTGCATATGTATTTTGCCAACCGATGGACTGAACTCTGCTTCTGCCAGTTCTTTGTGTTGCTTGCTATTCTCCTGTTGCATTCAGAAGAATGCATGGATGTATTAGTCCACACAATCTGGTAAAGCAGGGCAAAAATGCCATTTGCTGCTGCTGATTAGCAGTGTTCAGACCGCACCCATACCTGATCAAAGTGCAAAATGTTGTGCACACTTTTGTGTGGCACTGTGTTCTTGAGGTTACCTGCTGCTTCTCTCTGTAACGGTAGATGCCCATCTCTCCCAGGGAGGTCATCTGCAAGTTGGAGGAGGTGACCATCACCCTGAGGAAGCACCTCGCCAAGGAGGAGCAGCAGTTGTATCCCCTGCTGCTGCAGCACTTCAGCTATGTGGAACAGGCAGACCTTGTGGCTCAGTTCCTGTGCTGCATACCTCTTGCAGCTGTGGCAAGGGTCCTTGACTGGCTCAAGCCAATTGTGCCCCAGGCAAGAAACACTCCACTGCTCATGCAATTATCTGTGTACGTCCCTAAAACTAGCATAAGATGTGTGTGTTCTCGGCTCCCTCTTTCCTGTATATGGCCGTGTATATCCGTGCCAGCACCTGCACCAAAGATGTTGTAGCTGAGGACTGGGTGCCACCATCTTGGCTGCAACTTGAGGCCTTGTGGAACCTGTACACCACAGATGGGCTCCAATATTGTGCAGCACTGGCCACCTCCACCTTGCATGGCAGCACCTTGCACAATGCCCTGGGGTGTGCGGCATTGGACACCTTGATACTTTTCAGGGCATATGTGTCACATACAAGAGTGTGTCAATCCACAGGGGAACTGTGCCATCTGTTAGGAACCAGTACAAGTCTGGTACAATGCTATTCAGCTAGCAGGAATTGGCCCATTTAGGACGAATAGTCAACATTATAGAATGACTGTCAAAAAACAGTCGGGGCAGCTGAAGGGATTGGAACCACTGCGAGCAGCTGATGAGGTGGATGCTGCTGACATTTTCTAAGCCCACATCGCATCCCTTGTGCTGGACAGGCACATTTCAATGTCTGAATTCCGAATATTCTTGCCTTGCGGAAGCCTGGGAACAAGTTTGTGTGCACATAGACCCAGAGGACCCTCGATTACACAAGCTGGGGGTGGTTGCCCTTTAGGCAGATATGATAGGCCAACAAGCAAGCTTGACGATGTGGCGGTTGGAGCCACAGATTCCATCTAGGCTGAGTTCTTTGTACCCAGATTGGAAACATGGAAAGTTTTATTCATCTAGTTCGCCTGTATTCCACTTCTCACTCCACTACCTGCCCCAAGCCAACAATTCCTGTTCGTATTGCCACACAACGATTGTAAGCATCCTTTTCTGAGGGCATCTTTGGAGTTCTGTGGGCTTGACTACACCTCCAATGACCAGGGATGCACCAGACAGGCTTTGCTCAGAAGAACCACTGCAGCACTGCATCATTACTGAAATGCTTGAGTGGTCGTGCTGATGCACAGTTGGTGCTACCTTGCTGCCACATTAGCTGCATATTACTTCAGAGAGTTCAGGCCACTGCCATATCGGGATGGAGCTGTTGCTCTGCAGAGTAGCATATCCACTCCCCCCCTCCCCAATCTCCTCTGTTTTATGTTAGGCGGCGGCGTCATTCTGCGACTATGGGGCAGGGCCATCATTTGTGTCTTGAGGGTAAATGGGCATGCTAGAGGTATACCAGGCGCCTCTTGTCACGGGGAGCCTGGTGGTTTGCAAACGACCCAATGCGAACGTCTCGGTCACAGGTGGTGGTGCTGCATGTGTCACCATTTTTGGTGGGGGTTGCAAAAAATGTCAGCATCTTTATGCTGGTTTCAAGTGAAACATAGGCCGTAGGCACCTTTTGAAATGCTTTGTGGTGATAGCATTGCTTCTTGTCATACAACAAGCTTCGTGTTGCCAACATTAAAATCTAATGCATCCAACAGACCAACATGAGAATTCGAGTTAGTTCTCTGATTGATACACGGGACACAATAGGCATTGAACGCCTAATGTGTCTTGTATTTAGGCCGCGCTTGGACCATTGACTGGCATTGAACACGGACTGGACACTCGTGGCAGTTGTCAGGAGTGTCTTTAACTAGCGCAAGGATGGCACAAGGTGTACATAATGGTGTGTAACGGCGACACCACGTGATGGGGAGAGCGAATGGCTCCCCGTAGGTTGCTTGGACGAGAGGCACTGCGCCCCAAACGTTGCGTAACACGGGGAGAATGCTGGAAAACGCGGGTATACTCCAGATAACATCCCCTGCACTGCAGATATTGACGGAAACGCTCAACGGGGCTGGGGTTGGGGGGTGGGGGTGGGGGTGAGAATATTCCCCGTTCTGTATGGTAAATATGAGCGTACACGGTGGTGCACCTCTACACATATTGTGGCACAGCTATCTGCATGGTTTTTGGCCATTTGATTGGGTCCTGGCCGTTTGGTGGCGGGGCAGAGGGTCTTATTGATGCGCCAGCTGTTGATATTGTTTGTATACTCTAGCTGTTGGAGATTTACAACTTGTTTTTCACAGGTGGATAGTGGTTGCTTTGGGTTAGGTTTTTCAATTTTCCTAGGGTACTTGCTGCCATTTGGTGTGCGGCTGAGGCTCTAAGTGCGCTTTCACTACATTAATTAAACCAGGGCACAGCACCGCCCACAGCTACTTGACTGCACAACTGTATGCATCAGACGATGTCCGATGATGTTCCATATCAAGAAGCCTTTCTTGCCATGCTGTCTGCACTTCCTGCTCACACCTCTGGTGGGCTCTGTATTTGTGCTGGCAGGAAGAGCAAGACCAGCTCGTGGATCACATTCGTGAAGCCAACCCGGACGATCTCCTCCTCCAGCTCCTGCTTATGTGGCTGGACCCTGAACAGAGCCAGAGCGTGCCCCCGGAAAGCGACGCATCCAGCCAGTCTTCCGTCCAGATCGACGAGCCCGACACACTGCCACCCATCCAGCAGATCGTCAACGTGCACCGCAGCATTGGCCAGGCACTGGAGAACCTGGTGCAAGATGCACAGCGGCTCCTGTCGGGAAAGCTTAGTGCTGAACAGGTGTCACTGCTGTGCGAGAAGCACAGGTTCCTGAGGGCTGTGTGCTGGTTCCACATGCTGTCTGAAGAGGAGGTTATGTTCCCTGAGCTGGGCAAAAGGAAGATCGTCAACCTGTCTTCAGTGTTGTCCTGCCAGGCCCAGCACAAGGAAGAGGTGGTGTGGTTCGATCGCTTGGGGCGGCTTCTGGCAGACGTGAAGTCGAGTGCGCGGAGGGGTGCCAATGTAAGCGCACATCTGTGGTGGCTTTATTTCAGTGCATGCTTCACTTTCATGGCTGCGGACAGGCTGTTGAGCTGGCCTGTGTGGGGACTGGACGTGTGCTGTGTGTAGCACAGTCTGCAACAGCAGCAAGCTGAATTGCATCTGTGTGTTGCCAGGAGTCTGCTGGGCTGCTGCAGGAAGTGATCGAATGTGTGGAAAAAGGACAACTGAGTTACTGCAAGCACATGGAGAAGGAGGAGGCAGAGGTTCTGCCACTGCTTCAAGAAAACTTGTGCTTTGCTGAGCAGTGCATCATTGTCTGGCAAACTGTGAGAATGATGCCCCTAAGGTTACTGGAGAGGGTGATGCCCTGGCTGATGGGTAAGCATGGATAAATGGAAACCTGGCAGCCAGCTCAGGACTGGTTTCAAGGAAGGTGTTTCTTGTGACCTGCATAGATGTCGTGCATGTATTCCACCCCTCCCCCCCCCAATTACACTGTGGACCAACTGCAGATTATGATTGCCCATGTTCTTGTTGCCCACCCCAGTTCTACACACAGCTGTGCACATTTATTTTGCACGGTGGATTGTTTTTTGGGCTGTGCTACTTGGCTGAATAGCCTTCTGCCTGCCTGCAGGTGTCTGCATGTGATTTGTTAGCATCGACAACTGCAGTCAAAGAGTCGCGTCATAGATGAATGTGGCAATGTTGCTTGAGTTTGCTGTGTTGGCTTTGACCTGCATAGGTCAACTGAGTGAGGGTGATGCTGAGGAGTTGCTGAACACTCTCCGCATCGGCGCTGAGGGCCTGGATGTGGACTCTGCTGCTGTGCAGCTGCTCTCGAGATGGGCACAGAGGGGCTGCAGGTCGCCAGAGCCCCTGCACAAACTTTGTACCCAGGATCCATCGCACTATCCCAATGACACTTGTGAACCAAAGGTTGTGAAGGAAGGCTCCTCAACAGAGGCAGATGAGCAGGCAAGGAAGAGGAGAAAGTTGTTGGATTTTGGGACAGCGGGTGTCGGTGGCCTGCCAGTTTCGCAACCAGTGCCATCCCCTGGTATGTCAGTTTCTTTTTCTACTGCTCTTTTTGTGACGTGCTTATTTGCCAGGGCACGGGGGTGCATTTGCAGTGTGTCCACGCTGTGGATTGTGCTATTATCTCAGGAGGAAAGTGATTGCCTTCCCTTGTGGTGGGAATCTTCTAATTTCATCTGTCGCCCTGCACTATCTGATTTGCAGAGCACCATGGAGGACTCATTGAATGGAACTGCAGTGCATGCTTGGAAAAGAATGATAGCCTTGGGCAGTTGGGTTCCACAGAGTGCCACTGATTCTCCACTAGTTGCTTGTGAATTGGGCTTCGCTTGACAGTCTTCTGCACCATTCTTTGCTTCCAAGACATAGTGCAGCAGCTGCAGACAGAGTTGTGACAAATGGTGATATGTGCCTGGCTGTCTTGCCACTGTGTGTCACCATCGTCACTCTTTCTTATGTACCATCGTGTTACTGGGACCTGGGAGTGGTCTCAGCATCTGGGTTTTGTTGGTAACTGGGCTGTGAGTGATTGTGTCCATTTCAGCAGCACAGAAAATGACACACTTGTCAATGGCACCTGTCTCCAGTGATTTTAGTTCATCACACCGCTTCAGTTTGGCTTATGGTTGGCAAGAGCGTCCAGTGCGTGACACAGAGCGTACCGGATAAGCATCAACTGATGATTTAAATCCGTCCGATCGATCCACATCCGAACCAACAAGGTCCTGAAACGGGACTTCAGGGCCTTTGAGACTGAGGTGTGCGCTCTGCACCACATGCTGGACTCTGGAGAGTGCAACTCCAACAATTGGGACCAGGTGTTTCAGAAGCTGATGGGGAGGTTCAGATTCTTGTGGAGTCTGTACCAGGCACACTCAAAGATCGAAGATGAGGTCGTCTTTCCTGCACTTGAGTCCAAGGAGGCACTGGTGAATGTGTGCCACTCCTATGTGCTTGACCACAAGCAGGAGGAGGAGCTGTTCCTTGGCTTGGAGAAGGTGAGGAGTTACAGGCCGTCGGGTTGAGAAGTGTTGTGTGTATAATGTGGTATGGAACCATGTGGTTGAGCGTTTTTCTGAGACGAACAGAGGAGCTCCCCCACGAATCGTGAAGCACAACTGGACTCTTTTCCAGCAAGAACCGATGTAGGGTACCAAAGAACAAGAGAGGAAGAAAACCATAGTGTCAAATGAAATGTGGTTGAGTGCAGTGTAGTGCGTAGAGTTCTTTGTGGTGGTGGTGTTGGTCCAATACAATGGGAACGCTGAAACTAGTCTTTTAGGGATCACGGACGGCAACATACTGGTCATGGCAGCCGTCACTTCTGAGCTCAAATGACAGACTGCATCATAGTCCTGGCCGTGCTGCAACCCTTTTAAATTTGCCTTCATCAAGACAAAGTTATGCCCTTGCGCCTTGTAGGCGATGACGGGTGTGCAAAACGTCCATGAACGATTTTCTGTCGCACACCCATTCATTTGATCTGCCCGCCGCCCGTGTGATCAGACACTGCTACAAGCCTGGTGGGCTGATTGCGACCTGCAGGGACATCACTTTGCTTGGACTGTGATGAATCGCCAAGAATGCATCTCCACATGTCTGCAAACCAGTTATTTTAGTCATCGTTGCAAACTGTGTGCTGTTCTTGCTACCAGGCAATTATGTGTGGGAGATATTGAGAGGGAATCCTGGTGACGATATGTATTGTTGTTTGCTTGGCTCCTGTTGCCACACAGATTGTTGTCATTGGGGAAAACTTAGTTAACAATTGCATTCAAAGTGCGCAGCTCCACAAATGGTGGCTGCCAGTTATTTCATGTTGTACTACTTTGCGATCACCGGCGTGTAAATCTTAACATTTTGGTTTTCAAAATTGTCCGACAGCTGGGTTCCAGGCAGGGAACCCATGACACGTTCCTGTGTGTGTGATTGCCACATTTGGTGAAGTCAGTGGTCAGCCATTGCATCCCTGAGTTGTGGCAGTCTGGAGCAGAAAGCTGCCACTGTGGCTGTACGTGATATTCTGCATTGCTCAGCTTAGATTTGCTGGCACTGGATGTTACATTCCCTCTTCTCCTTACAAGGACACAATATTGTGCACCTCTGTATCCAAGTGAAGTGAACAAATGTTTAGAGCAGACTTTTTGTGTTGCGTCATGCGCTAAGAAGCACCGGGCCAGTCTTGTACCTACCAGATTGAACACTTTGAGGAAAACTTTGTGTTGTGCTGGCGCTTTCCATTTGGGATGCATTCATTCCATCACCAGCATTGAGGATGCAGTTGCGACTGACATCGCCTTTCGAATATGCATAAGCAACATTTTGAGAAGTCAAGTCAAACAGATTATTACTCTGCAGCCTGACCTGAAGTATAGTGAACCGAGCTGAAGAACCTTGTATACCATGTGGAGTGGCTAGGATGCTATGTATCGTATCATCGATTTGTAAACATATCAATCAGAGTTGTCCTGTAGCTACCTCTCTCCCCTGAATGCGAAATAACAGCTTGCATGGCAGCTGCATTGTGCACTTATGCACAACATCGCATGCATGGGCTGGAAGGCCGTTGTGCACCAATGTTGTGGCGGATGGCGTTGCTGGCACACTTGCCCATGCTTTTGCGCTTGGCCTGACAGATGAACTGGCAATGTTCAGTCATACATCGGGCAAATGTGACAAATTCCTTGGATTGTCACAATAGCCATGGCAAACACCCCCCCTGCACTAGTTGGTGAATACATTCCGACATTTGTTGCCAGTGGGAAAATACCTGGCTGCATGTGCACAGACGATCAACATGATGAAGCCAACTGGAGACCGGGAGGGTCTGCGAGAGCTGGCCCTGGAGCTCAACCGGAAGTGCTCGGCGATACGTGCTGCTCTTGAAACCCACGTCCGGGCAGAGGAGAACGAGCTGTGGCCCCTGTTCGTGGAGAACTTCTCAGAGGAAGAGCAGCATGTACTTGTGGGCTCGATCATCGGACGGACGGGCGCAGAAGTGCTTCAGGCGATGCTGCCCTGGGTATCAGGTCGGTATACAGCATGCTTGTGGCTGTCAACATCAATGTCAGATCCCAATGGGCGAATCTGGGGCACACACACACACTGGTGCTGCCTGCTGGCATGCTGGCTGTTGCTGCATCTGCTTGGAGTTGCAAATATCATGCTGCCCTATGGCTGGCTGTGCAGCGGTGAGCAGTGGTGAGTTTGCTGTTGCGTCTGCAGTCAATCAGTTGCAAGGAGCTGTAGCACAGTAAAGCAGCGTCTCTGGCCCAAGCCATACACTATCTGTGAATACGATCCATCTTTTCCCAGCTTTTTGGCTGGTCTGCGAATGATGAAGTGGTGGTAGAACAGCGGTGGAGTAATGGTAGGCCTTGTATGCAGGATGCTTCAGTGGCGAGGAAATGGATGCCATGAAAGAGTCCCTGAAGTCAGCAACAAGGAACACCATGTTTGAGCAGTGGCTGGAAGCTGTTGGTTCACCCATCGGCTGGAAGGCAGAATTTGAGCAACCTGAAGCTGAAAGCTCAGAAAAGGTGTCACCTAATAGCGATGTTAAGGGATCGCTGGTAGAAGTTGCACAGTACCTCAGGAGGAATCTCCCAGGTAACTGGATGGGTAACTGGTGCCTTTGTGCGAAGCAGTCTGTCAAATTATCTCGTTTCCATCAACAACCAGGCGAGATTTCGTATCCCTGCGATTTGTTGGAAAAACCATTCCGGGATGTGGACAAGTGTACATGTGTTTAGTGGGTCCCACTTGGGACTCATGGCCAGCAGAAGCAACTGGATCAGGCATTATGCCCAGCAGTGTTTGAACCCACCATTTTGTGTTTACCATCATCTTGACCTGTCCCATCGCCTGAATTGGTAGTTGGTGAGCGCACAGCAAGGAGGAATGGTGTGGGCATCCATTATTTGAATGGATTTCTGGCGTGCAGTCATCAATATTCTAGCAGTGGTAAACTGAACTTGCACTTGTTGTTGGCCAGTTGTATATTTGCATTGGAGAGACATGCATTTTTTCTCTCTTTTTGTCTGTACAGGCTCAGTTCCGAGGACCTCTGACACTTCCAGAACCAATGCTGTTGTTGAGGTTCTTTTTTGTCTCATTGCTGTATGGGCTCCCTTCACCAGTACGATGCATGTAATCGAAAGGCTTAACATGTTCATCTGCTGGTCAACTCACTGATGTGGTACACCTGTGACAGACCCCGGGCAAGCTGGTGAGCCATCAGGACCCGTAGCAGAAACCAGTGAATTCTGCCCCAGCTGGGAGGATCTGTTCAGGATGAACCAAAAACAGCTTGAGGCCGCCGTGCGCCAAGTGTCCAATGATGACAGCTTGGAGCCCAACCGCAAGACGTACCTCATCCAGTGGATAATGGTATCCAAGTATGTGGTGGCCCAACAGCAGCTCAGGTGCAAAGGGGAAGCCATACCAGATGAGGAAGTGGCAGAGGAAGAGGGCAACGGGGCGCACCGGGGTGCCACAGAGTGCTCAAGCCACCATCGGACCTTCCATGATGAGCAGAAAGGGGTGCTGGGATGCGTGCACTACCAGCGGCGAGCTGCACTGGTGGCGCCATGTTGCTCAGAGGTCTTCACATGCAGGCTGTGCCATGATGACAAGTGTGACCACAGGATGAACAGGTGGGGGCGAGCGGAGTGGCAGAGAACTTGTCACAAACTTGCTGCGGAGTGGCAGAGAACTTGTTGCGAAACTTGCTGCTTGTAGACTGCTGCTTGTGAGATTTGGGTGCAGCACTTGCAGGTTGTGGGAATCTGGGGTGAGAGAATCAACAAGCAGGAACACGGTTGCCTCGATTGGGGATTCCGGCCGACGTGTCAAAGATGTTATCAGTTTGTCAAAATTGTTCCTGAAACATGTCGTGCATTGGTGGAGGTTGGCACTGATTTGGGGGGTTTGCGCCCCTTGTGAGAAACGAGACGCTTGGTGAGCAAGCCAGAAGTGCTGTACTTGCTGGATATGTTCCCAACGCTGACAAACTGGACATTGGCAGGAATTTGGTGCCCCACACGTTGGTGGGCACACATTTGCAGGGGGAAAATGCAACATTCTGGATGTACCAGGGAATGTCATTTGCGTGCTTTGTGTTTGAGGGTGCTGTGCCACCGTTGTAAAGGCAGTCCATAAGAAACGCAACATGATGGCTGACAACACCTGAATCTCTGCTAAGGCACAGTGCCTTGAGTGTTGTTCTGTGCCCTGGATTATTTCTTTTCTTTGGTATCGTTGCGTGTGCTGTTGATCCGTGATTTGCTCCTCCCCAAGGTGCGTACGTGCTGGCACACATCGCCTTTGCAATAGGCAGCTGACAGCTGGTCCAACGTGTGGTCGCCGCTGAACACCAAGTATTCTGCACCTGTTGTTCTTGAGCTATGTGGAAGCGACACAGTTCACGGGACTTGGGACACTTGTTATGTCAATGCTGAGTGGCGCGTCTTCAGCAGCCTCGACTCTCACTCAGCATAATAGCAGTCAATTGCCTGTCCCTGTTATCAGGTACCTCGTAGAGTCAATGGTGTGCATGGTGTGTGGGAAGCGCCAGCCGATCGGCAGCACCTGCAGCAGCTGCGGGGCGTCGATGGCGAATTACTACTGCAGCATATGCCACCTGTTCGATGACTCTCCCCAGGGCGAGATCTACCACTGCCCCTTCTGCAATGTTTGCCGCCGGGGCAAGGGCTTGGGACAGGATTTCTTCCACTGCATGGAATGCAACGCCTGCATGCATATGAGCCTGTTCAAGAGGCACAAGTGCAGGGAGAAGTGCATCGAGGGCGTCTGCCCTGTGTGCAAAGACAACCTGTTTGATAGTCACCAGCCCATAAAGGTGGGGCGCCCAAACAATCTCGTTCGTGAAGTTCTCCTGACTTGCGTGTGTCACCACATGATGACATGCTGCACTTGCACCTGGAGGCTGATGGCATGCGATTTGGGTGCTTCCCATATTTGTCCTGGGCTTCTAGAATCAAACTAGGCCTTCAGATGAGTCTGAGGTCTGGAGCACTCACATGTGGAAGGCCACTTTGGCAATTGTTGCCTTTGCAGTCATAATTGTTACCCAGGACCTTGCAAGGTGTTCCAGGCAAGCATGATGGTGCGTAGATGTCAAGGCTTTTATACGCATCCTGGAGGACCTGTTGTGGCTTGCGGGGGCCCAGAGGTTCACCACGGTTGAGTTGCCAGTGCGCATGGTTTCTGTTGCACTGATGAGAGGAAGATGCAGCACACTACATGGCTCCATGTTGAACGTAAACACTATCAATTCATTTTCGGTTCGGCCTGGGCAGATGTGTGTCTACAGTGTGTGTTGTCCCTTCATGTCCCTTAGCTCTTCGCTCCAGTTGCAATCCCTCCAGTTTTCATTGTCCGCCATGCTAGGTTGCAGCAGGCCCTGCTGCAGCTGCTATTAAGCCTGTCATATGGCCAGAAAATAGCCCTGTTGTAGAAGCGAACCTGGGTGTGGTGAACTGCAAGCTTTGCACCTACTCACATTAACTGATTGTCATGTTACAGGAGTTGAGGTGTGGCCACTTCATGCACTCCACATGCTTCTCCCAGTACTCTAGATGGAACTACACCTGCCCGATTTGCTCCAAGAGCATGGGCGACATGTGCATGTACTTTCGCATGCTGGACAGCCTGCTGGCGTCGCATAGCATGCCAGATCAGTTTCGCGACATGACGCAGCGCATACTCTGCAATGACTGTGGCCACAAGGGTGAAGCGCCATACCATTTTGTCTACCACGCATGCCCCCGTTGTCGATCGTACAACACATGTGTGCTGTGAACCCTAGGTGAGATTCGGTAGCATTCAGAGAGCCAGTGGGGTTTGGAGGAATCAGCGGATGGCCTCTGGCAGGCACTTTGAGCTTTGGCCCTTTGACATTGTGGAAGTGATGGATGTGTCAATGCTGCCGTGGCTTGGGTAGGCTTGACCTAAGCAGATCTTCTATTGGCCTGAAAGAAGTCGATGAAAAAGGGCTGTTTTGGCTCAAGGATGACACATTTAATTGAATGTTGCACAGTGCCTGTCCAATAGAGAGAGGTTACAGACCCTCATTTCAACCGTTGGGCGATATATCAGAGGCACAAGCTATAGGAGCTTGAAGGGAAGGAGGTGCACGAGCGGTCGAGGTGTTGATAGGTACACTCCTGCTTCACGAATAACCCATTGATATTAGAGCAAGAGAATTTACAGGATCTTGATGGATTTGCTTGCCACCAGTGCGTTGGTGCTGGTGGCGTCTTGTTTACAGACTAGGTGGCCAACAAGTGGAGTAATAGATGGGCCGGCTGGGTACGCAATAGAACACTACAAGGCGTTGCTGTAGAGTGCTATAGTGCTATTAACTCGTGTTCTGGTGACGTTCAGTGCGTACGCGAGAGCATCAAAGCACTGCATGAACCCTGTGTTGCCTCCATGCTGGCTGGCGACTGTTTGCAGCTTTCACCTGTCTACATGAGCGATTGTGTTCAGGTGCGGTCCCCGCGCTCTAGAAATGGAATCCATGCTATGCATGTCAGTGTGGAGTGCGTGCAAGTTCATACTGAATTTTTAGCACTACGTGATCCAGCTACTTTGCTCAGCTACAGCCATCCCAGTCTGTCCAACGTTTCGTGATGCCATTGTCACACATGGGATCCTGCTGAAGGTTGGTGACAAGCTGAGAAGTTTGTCAAGGCCAGGAAAGGTAGTTGGGTTCGCCATCTGGAGGTGGCCGCAGAATCTATGAGCTCTGCTGAGCATCATACCAAAGGATTCACTGCGTATGACCTGTGGTTGGGTAATGAGGCAACGAGGCGAGCTGCCCGTGAGGGTGCTCAACGAGAAAGAGTGAAAGGAAACAAGCAAATGTAAAACGAAAGCAAACCAACACATGGTTACGTTTTTGAGACAAAACAACCTATTTTGTGTATCTCACATGTTATCAGCCCTCCACAAGTGCAGGGCAAAAGCTGGGTTGGGGCGGTTCTTCACACACAATCATGCACAAAAGGCGCATATGTCTTTTCACAAGATTATAGAATCTCTTATTTTCTATTTTTATCGCAAAACTATTTGTTGGATAACAACACGCACCAGCTAGCTCAGTATGGCTTTTGCAGCGAACCCTGAAGATGGTGTGGTAATTATATTTAATAAATGGACGAGGGAAATTAACCAAACTCTGACCTGTATTCCCGTCACCCTATGATAAGTTGAGCTTGTCATGGTCATCCTAGCCCATTACACTTTGCTGCATTTAAGTACTTCTAGTCAGAGTGCTAAAAACAACTTTGCATGACACAAGGGCTGGCACCGTATCTAAACTCCAAAAATGCACAGAGCCAGCACACTTGCCATGTCAGACCTATGCGTGCAAGTGCATTGAAAGATCCCTGCATGAATGTAACCTTCCACATCACATGGAACCCTATTGTTCATGTAAGCTATTGGACTAAATGTCTCTCTGTACGCCAGATAGCCCAAATGCTCTTTCTCAGACCAGGGATTTTGCTAGCTGGGCTCATCCCAGCCTACCCGTACAACCTGTGCCCTTGAGGCCCAATACCTCCCCTTATAATTATTGAATTCGATCAATCTGGGGACCTGACCAGCAACATAGCAGAGTTGGGCCCACCTGGACCAGTAACTGAAAAAGAAGAGAAACAAGAACGGGAAATGGAACTACAAAAAATCAGTTCCCGTTCTTGGGGCCAGGGACCTAGGGACCACCAGGAATGGTCCTTGGAACGGACAAAGAACAAACAAAGAATGGGTCATTGGAAAGAATGCCAAGTTGAGGGGGCGCTAGGTGCCACGCCACGCGGCGCAACGAAAGGGAATGAGTGCCGGACGCGGGTGTGGGAGGTGCAGCGTTGTGGCGGCAATGCATTGGAGTGGATGCACAACGCCATCAAGGCGCTAGGTTGCCGGAAACACGGAGGGCGAGCATGCCCGCCGCGTGCCGCCGATGGGAAACAGCCCAAGGGGCATAATGACAGGGAGAAAACGCCCATTGCCAAACGGGGAGGACGTTGCGAGGATGCAGCAGCGCAGTGACGGCGAGTTTCCACGCCATGGAGGCGAAATGGAGCCAAATTGCCCGATTTTGGGCGGCGATGGGAAGGCTAGGGGGGCGTATCCGCGAGGAATATGCACTGGGAAAGGGCCCGCGAAGTCGCACCGCAAACACAGCGGCATGGCTAAAGTGCAGAGGATGCGAAAGCAGGAGCATTGGAGGCTCCCACCGGCGAAGGGAGGCCGATGGATGGGAGAGCGTGCACACGCGGCATGCCTGCCGGCATGCCGTGGTGATTCGATTTGCTTTGGCCCAGCGAAGGCGAGGGACACGCGCCTCGATCCTGCCAGGGTGGCGCGCGCGTTTCTGCACGTCGCCATGACGGGATGGGCGCGGAGAGACGCACCAGCGAGCTGGAGTTGCCAGGAGGGTTGGGGTAGGTGGGCGGAGGTTGGGTGAGTCAGCCGGGGCAGTCGCAGCGCCCCGTCACATGATGGTAATTGGAATGGGCCGGAACGGCATGGAATAGAACGGTAATTGGAACAGGGACTGACAAAGAATGGATACCATTCCCGTTTCTGTTCCGCCCAGAGCTTGGCGGGCCCAGCTGTGCTATATGGGTCTGTGGAGTACACAGGGTGGTATTTCATGACCAACCCTTGCCTACTAACCTCTCAACCTCCTTCACGCTCATTCCTAATGTTTGCAACTCTGTGCTCATGACGCATTCTTGGAGCGTTTTTTATTTTTTCCTTGCTCTCTTTTCTTGCTTTGTATTCAGCAATGGTAGCATACTCGAGCCATCCCATGCAACGTACACCGCGCATATGGTAGCTACCTTACATACAGCAATTACATAAGTCATCCACCCCGTGAAACGGTAGTCATTATGTGGCATTACGAACAACAACAGGGCATTCAAATCTTGGTTTTGAAAGTTGGCATTATGGATTGGGCACGACACTTGTCAACAAACAGATATCGATTGTTTTCGAGCTCTGCATTATGTCCAATAGGCGCAAGGAACTAAAAGCCCCTGGTCGTGTTTTGCTAGAACCACAGCACTCTACTGTCACATATTGTGCTTGCATTGCGGGACTTAGGCAGAGGGCCCACTCTAAAGGAGCATTGGGTAGGTGTTTGCACAGTCACATAATGGCCACAATTTCACCAGATGGATCAGTTGTGCTTCGTGGCTAGCAATTGTTCTGCATTCAAAATAGTGAACTATGTACATGGGACAGCCTGAGCAGACTGGCAATGCAATATGACCGTGCTACTATGCAGAGCGGGCAAGAAGGCCAGGGAGGTAGAAAAGGGTCATGGATTTCGTTTTGGTACCATGCTGCAACAAAATGCAACGAAAAGACTGTAACAACGACAATAACGTGAACATGCATGGTGAAGCTTCAGCGCAAATGAAAATCGAGCATTTTTATCCTTCAGGAAGGCCCAAATTTGCATCCAGGGGCCAAGACATGAAGCTCAACATCACAAACGTCTTGTCATACCACATCTAATGCGACATTACAGCCGTCAGCTATTCAGATATTGCCTAAAAGACAAGTGGCCACCAGGAGGCGAGAACACGATATCAGTTGCCGGTGGGCTGAACCCTTGCCTTTCAGGTCGGACACACACCACATCTGGGCCATAAACCCAAACAACAGTCAGCTGGGCCCTGGATAGAGCATTATCTTCAACTCTAGCAATCTGCACAGCATAGGCACACAAAATGCAAGTCAGTCTACCAGACATTGCAGACAGAAAGGAAACTTAACATCCATCTTCTCAGGGAGGAGGGTGACTGAGCCTCTCTTGCGCCACAACCCACCACCTCTGAACATTTTGTTTGGCAAGGCAGCATTTTCACATATGGAGGGACAAGGCAAACAATACATGAAACAGGAGCACTGAGAGAATCGCACAGACTGCAAATATCAAACGATATTAACTCGCTGCCCTTTCATCAGTTCAGCATTGTCAGATATTGTTCATGTGCCCAGGTGCCTTTCCATAAACAATTCTGTTCACATTTTCCCTTCAAAGGCTGCTGCAATGTAGAAGTACATGGTGCACTGCCACAATCCATGACTCTTCACAATCTCAACATGCACTGCTGTTGTGCACAGCAAATGCAGCAAGGTCCATATGAATGCAGAGCTCGACGCCACCTCTGCAGTGCACTGACATTTGGTGAGACACTATGAATGGGCCACTCTGCACTGCAAAGAACCTGTCAGCTATCTTCTACCTTGAAACTAAGAATGCTCCTTTGTTGCACCATGGGTCTTGAGAAAATCTAAAATGGCTTCAGCCACAACTTGAGGTTGCTCCAGATGTGGTGAATGCCCACATTGTTCCACCCACACCAATTTTGAACAGGTTATGTCCTCCACAAAACGCTCGGCATAGGAAGGGTCCAGGATGCCATCATCCCTGCCCCACAGAATGAGTGTGGGCTGTTGAACATCTTTGATCCGGGGGCTTAATGAGTAACCGCCACTGCGCATGAAGGACACATTTGCATCTGACCAGCCTGCATGCATGGATTCATAATTCAATAATGTCTGAAGACATAGCTGACACTGGTCCTTCCGCCGGGGCTTGTGTCAACCTGTGAGTTTTCGCATGTGCTTCCTATCCTGTACTCTCATGAGTGCTTTAAAATCTTTTCTTCTGCCATACAGTACATGAGAATGGAGAATGCCAAAGGCACTCAGAAATGTGAGTGTAAAACACAGCCAAAAGAAGCCATGCACACAGTCCAAGTGACCCAAGTTCATATATCGAGCTGCCACAAGGTGCACTTACAAGGCACATTCGGAGCTGTTCACATCCACATCTGCTCGTTTCCATGGTGGCTAATGTTGCTCCTCATCATCAGAAAGCTCTCTGAATACTGCTGGCAGGGTAAGAATGAGCTCCTGCATGGCAGTAATGGTTATCATTGACTGATGGTGCTGTGTCTCTACCATCGCGTAATTTGCTGCAAAAGAAACTGCTGTTGTAATGTGTGACATGTTTGATCCCAAGATCTCTAAAAGAAGAGAACATGCATGCAAATGGTCAGATTTTACCTGGAAGAAATGTGTGCAGGCGCCCCACTTTCATGGCATCTTCCGAGGCATACGTTTCTTTGTCGTAGTATGCCATGGTGTTTGCAAGCTGCCTCAAGGCCACTGTGCGGAGCACCTGCACACCCAATGACTGCAACGGTCGAGGCAACTGGGACATGGCACCAATTCCATCCACATAGCCTTGTGAATCCATCAAAATGATGCAGTCCACAGCCTGTATGGAGTCAACAGCACAACCCATTTGTTAAAAGCAAGGGTCTTCACCATGTTCAAAACATTTTGAGCCACTACATGCTTGGGGGTGTAACAGCACAGTCGCTGGAAGCAACACTTGTTTGAACGATGCACAGCAATTCACATCACACCCAACATCTGCTTTGAGGTACTTGCCTGCCCAAAATTCTGCTGAATACTTTAATGCAGTACCCATAGCTATGGCAGGGAGAACAGTTGATCAGCAAATAGCATAGTATTATGATAAATAAAGGCCAATTCTGTTGCTGTGCATTGTATGCAGACAATTCTTCTGTGCTTGCGCTGGCACATGGAAATAGTGCATTCATAGCACGGAGATGCAATATAGGACCAGATCAGGTGATCTTAATTGCTTCTTTGGTGCCATTGTCATCCAAAAAATATCGAGCAAAAGTAACACATCAATCCATATAGCAGGTTAGTGTATCATGCAATACATTACATGGCAACAAGCAGTTTTTCAACAAAGCTCCTGCAATGGAAGTAATAATTCCACGCAATGGGATGAAGCGTTATGAACAAATTTGCTACATATGACAGAACAAACTCTCCCACCATGTTTTGGGTTTGGGCGCACCTCAGGATATGCCAGAGCAAAGTCCATGGCGGCAGCTCCGCCAAGGCTTATCCCTGCCACAGCCATCGGGCGTCCTATGTTTGACTTCCAGAACTCATACAGGTGCTCTGTCCTCTGTGCTGGCCCTGCGATGAGGTCTGGCTCGCCTTTGAATATGCCGTGGTCCGAGAACCCTGCGCCCACCTACCAGCAGCAGTTGGGGTTCACTATATTGTTGGAGCACCAGGCCCCTGAGAGCTCCCTTTCTCATTCCCTTTTTCGCACACAAGCAGATTTCTCAAGGTTGCACAGGAACGTTGGAACATGAGCAATAGCATTGTGTTGGAACACTGCCTTGCACATTAATTGAGAACATCAACTGGAGAATCAATGCCTGTGGGAATAATATTTTCTGCTTGTATAGACAACGCCGATCATCACCAGGTGGATGCAAGTACAGTGCTTTGCCCTGTTTGACAAGTGCCACAAGTTTTTACCAAGATTCACGATTCACATCGCTGCGGCAGGGCCCATCCCATGCTTGGAAACGGCACGGCTGTCAACAAGGGGCTCTGGACTGTCCGTTTGACCCGCTGATCCTGTGTGATTACGTTTGCCAAATTTGCAAGTTATGCTGCCAACCACCTTAACCAAAGGCCATGGAGGGCAATGAGCCATATCACAGTTGTTGATACACACAAAAAGGATGATACATTTGCCACTTGTGCAGCGGGTTTACTATGCACAACAAAGCAGAAGTGATTTGAGAGGAAAGAACTCAAGGAAAGGAAGTTGTGCACATGGTGGGGAGCAGTGTGGAGTTGGTGGCATTGCAATTTCCAGGCGCTTGGCAAAATGGGAGGTTTACATGGCCTCAATTACCATTGAGGGCCATGGTGCAAGGGATTGCGAAGCAAGAACCTGGGCAGGAAACAAGAGGATGCTGACAAAAAGTGGGAAGCCTGGCCTGGAACAGTCATGAAGCAGAGGTCCTCACAAGTACTTCCTCCGTCCATAATTAATTATCCTCTATGACTTTGCCGCCCTACTTCTCTGTGATAGATGCTTCATTTTCAATAAATTGGCACCAACGGTCTGCCTATGTTGAGAGTACACGGTCAAAGTTTCAAGTCAATCCATTAAGAATTGACGATTTGGCAGCTCTTTGTAGTAAGGTCCTCCCACCAGAAACCCACCCGTTTTTCAACAAAGTCACTGAAACAACAATTTTCTCGATGGTGAGGAGCGCGAGTTTGAGGCAGCCAAACAAGGTCGCCCATGCAAAACCATCCATGTTGTTTGGACATAAGCTCGGAGGGGACCCTCTAAGAAGCAAAGCGGTAAAAAAGTGTCTTTGTGGGCTTCATTTTGGAAGTTACCATGGCTTCGCTGACCTCATTCGAGATCGATTGGCCAGTTCGGGGATGCATTCCCATCCCAGATTTCTGGGCCGCGACCTTTGAAACTCTATCACTGCTGTGAGAGATACTGCACAAGGCCTCCCAAGCCCCTCGAAGAGGTGCTAAAGAATGTGATGGCTATCACCCTTATCATCGGCAGACGATTAATGGAATGGCTTCCAAGGCGGGATGGCGAAGTCAACACTTGCCTCGACAATTGGTAAGGTGGAATGCGAAGCGTACAATCAGATAGATCATTTTGTGTCTCTCTCACAAATAGAGACTATGTAGATTGAGAAGGGTTGCGGACTGTATATACAAGTTGGCCGCGAGTGCCAATTTTGGGAGTGTGGGCCCAGCCACACATGAAAGCCTTGATTCAAAGATCTATCGATGTGCAGTGTTAGAGAAAAGTTACAGCACAGCCTTAGAATGATAGCAACCACAAAGCCCAAGCTTGAGGGTGTTGGGCGTTTGCGTTTCTGCTTGTGGCAAGTCCTTGCATAGGAGATCAGGGAGGTCTGCGATTTCTGCCGTCGTCGATGCTGTGACAATGGGCTTGTTCGATCAGGCTCCAAACACAGTTGAGAGTGTTTGGCAAGTGATATGCCACGTGAGGGATGCTACCCTTCGCCACAATGGCAACAACAACTTTGTTTGGCATGCCTGGGCCAGGAACGATCCAGAACCACCTGGATCTCCAACGAACGCCGAATCAGAATGCCCAATTTTCGGCCAAATCTTAGGCAGTTTCAAGGGGGCATCGGAAGTAATGGGGATGAGTATTTTTTCGCAAAAATTGGTAGTCAAGGTTTTTGGGACCCAGTCTTTTCGATTCTGGCCGTTATTAATACTTTGGAAGCCGTTTAGATGACGAAATTTATCTTTCAAATAGAGGACAATTAATCTTGGATGGAGGAAGTATTTAAAATTGAATTGTCTATTGCTCTACATTAGTCAGTTGCAATAACATCAGATTGGATCTAACTGCATGTGAGGCTCCTCGTGCCAACCTGTCATTGCCATTAATCCTGATGGATGCTGCAATTGGCATTCTTAATTGTGGAGGGTTTTGGCCTGTTTCTGTGTTGTTGTAATCTTCACAATCAGACACTGCGATTCTGCAGCCGGTTCTCTGTGCGTTTTACTGCAACATTTTGACGCAGGACGTGGGTCCCTTGCAAACAATGCAAGCCACAGTCCTGTGCAGCCTCTGTTGACCAAGTCAACGTGTCAGTCACCAATTTCAATTCTTGACGTGAACGTCATTGGCACCGCTGAGTGGATGGGTTTCAAGAATAGTCGACATGTTGCATCTACGGGGGCATGGATGCAGTCACGACTATTATAGTGGGGGTCCCCAGCACAACCTGACCAACATTAAAACACAAATGCATCAGCTCGGTCTCTATGTTAGAGCGGGGTGGGCACCCGACCTCTCTGCGGCGGTGACATGTCGGCACCAAAGAATAGGCGAAACTCACCAGGTCCACCGCCCACGCCTGCACGCTGTCGGCCAGCAGGGGCATCAACCGCCGGAACTCCAGGCTGGAGCCGTCGAACCCGTGCAGCAGGACGACCGGCGGGCACAACGCGTCGTCCGCACCCTTGCCAAATGGCCTGATGTGTGCCGTCTGCACCTCCCGGCCCAGGCACGGCACCCGAACCCCTACGCGATCGTACCTTGCGGCCAGCTCGAGCGCAGCGCCATCCCCGACGTCGCCCGCCTCCGCAGGAATGAACGCCGGCAGAGTTGCAACCTGGAGCAGAAATCCCCAGACGGCGGTCAGGACCGCAGTCACGACCCCAACACAATCCTCCAGCGGATTCTCAACGAAATCTTCAACGGATTTCTCCCACCAGTGTCGCCATGGCTCCAACGCTGACAGACGGCAGCCATCTGCGCACACGGCATCGCCACTGCCTTCCGCGGCTTTTCGCCCAAGGGCGCGATTCATTCACACACACGCACACCCGGTCGTGTCGCCGCAATTGGCTTCAGGGCGATCAGGACAAGGCGTCGCTCTCGATTGCCAGATTCGATCCCGCGGCTCGGTCGTCTTGATGCGACGTCCGCCCGCGCCCTCTTCCGCCCGGTTCAATCCCCGGCTGCTCCGCGCGGCGGGCGCACGGCGGGGGTGGTCGCGCGCATATGCTGCCCAGAGCGTCGAAAAACGAATCTGCGGAAAAAGGGGGGATGCGGATTCGGGCCGGATGTCTGTGTTACCTGAGACGACTGCGCGGCCTGGGGCGCGCGGGGAAACTTCGCGCGCTCGGACGGCTGGGGCGCGGCTCCGCGAGGGCCTCGCCAGGCGCGCGGCCAGCAGGCGCGGCCGATGGGGGCCGTGCACGGGCCCATTGGGGGTGGGGGCGCTGCAGGAGCGAGACGGTGGGATGTGGGGCGGGTTGGCCCCAGAGATGTGAGGGGCGGACCGGGGATTGCAAAGCCAGCCAAGCAAAAGCGAGTGGCCGATTCGCGTGCTACTAAGTGGTACTAAATGCGATCGCCCATAGGAAAACAGCACAAAAATTATCTTTGCGCAACTGTCTTTGAGCGTGCGGGGGTTTGGAACAGGTGCCGTGGTGTGTCGGCCGCCCACTCAAGTAGGGTTGTTGCCGAACAAGATCACCAGTTGAGTGCGTGTCGCAAGCAGCGATCGTGGGCGGCAAAGGCACCTTAATGTCGGCTGGAGTGCGCATCGAACGGCGTCCCCGTTGTGTGCTACGACAACGGGAATTTGCTGTGCAACAATGAGCATTGCTCATTGTGGGACACCCCGATGCCCTTAAAGAAGTGCCGTTGGACAGCGACAGAACTTTAGTCACAAAACTCCAGCAGAAACTCTGCTCCCGGCACGCCAAGTACGTTTGAGGGCCCCTGTTGTGGGGATTGCAGGGTTATTGAGACTTCGCTACAAAACAGTGAGAGAGTAAAATCTATTCAAACCAGTGTGTTTGCTGTCAGCAAACGTGCTAGATTTACCAACAAACTGCTGAATGGTCACTTTTGCGGTCGCCAGAAACATTAGTCGGATCAGGAGTGGAACGACCACGTGGGTTTAAAAGCTGATGGAATAAAACAAATCAAGTATTGTCCTTGTCAAGACACCAGTAGGGGTGGGCAGAGAGCTCAACGTCAGCGCACTCGCAACAGGCAGCCGCCGCGTCCGCGACACACTCGCACAAACGAGGCCGCGTTTCTGTACGGCATGTGAATCACGCGCCGCTTACAAACTAACTCAAATGCATGTCACATTCGAAATTCTTCAGCCCAGTTTCAGTGTCGGTTCCATGAAGGTTATGCGCAGAATTTGGGTTTGGTCTGCTGAAACGCTGAAGTTAAGCGGCGGCGCGGGAAGTCAGAGCGGGCTAGCGAAGCGCCTGCTGTGTCTCACGTCCTGGAGATCTCGGCAGTAAACGTGCCCATAGAGGGTAGGGGACTGCGGTTCTCAAACCATTTTTCATTGGCGCAAACTCGTGGCTCGCCTGGCGGCAACCGCAATGATTAAGAGAAACAAAGGAACCTGGAGTCGGCTGTGATCAGCTGTATATTGTATGCTTGATCCACCTCGTGCCCTCGCATACCCTCCCTGCCTTTATTTTCTAATGATGGCAATTTCGATCTCCCCGCATTGCATGACAGGCCTCTGAACCCATGAGAGCCGTCAAACCAGTAGTGCAACGAACTGCACACAAAGGCACTCGCCAAGACTTTGCTTGACAAAGTGCACGTTCGTTGGCCCAGGTACCTCTGCTGCCTGTGCTGCCTGGAACGAACTGTGGCCTCTCCCAGGAAGCAAATCAGCATTCCACTTGCCCCAAGATTGGAAGGTGCTGGTTGCCCATATGGGGCGGCAGGGCAAACAATTCCAGGGTAGCTATGCTGGGGACTTGGAGTCTGGCCGCCTGATTCCCACGAATTCCAAGTTCGTGTATCAGATTGAGCGCGAGCTGGAGAAGGAGAGGAACTGCCTATACAACCGTGCCTGCTCCATCATCGAGGACGCAGCATTCGTTGGGACTGTGCGGGAGCTATACCCTGGGCTACCCGTGATTTGCAACTTGAGGTGTGGTGCGTGGTACGTGCCACCCCCACGAGGCTGCTGTTATTTTAAATCTACTGATGGGCACCATGGGAACTGGTCATTCTCGCTGACCCGCCTGAACCTCAATGTGGCAGAGTGGGCTGCCAAGGCTGGCGGGTGTATTATAGTGGATGCAACACGAAAGGGCAAGAAGTTCCCGGTGAGGTTGCCTGATGGCAAATGCACTGCAGTTTTAGTGCTCCCTGTCAAATACTTTGAAGTACAGTTGTCTCCAGTGCTCAAAAATGTGGACAATTAATGTGCAAAAAGGCCATTTCGCTTTGTTTGGGCTGGTCAGCCAACAATCAATTCACTCCAACTTTTACCCGCATGCCAAGAACAGCTGGTGACTGCACATGCCATGTTGTCAGCCACAGGAGAAGCTAGTTATAGCGGTTGGACTGAACTGCCACTGTGGAGCCCCCGATTTCACTGGACAGCGGCCCCTGACAAGGATCTTGTGCAGCAGAAATCTTTTGCATCTTGTGCCCATGGGCACTGCAGAGCACTGTCCAGATGCGCTTGGAACCTTTCATGGACCTCCAATATATGGTAATAAAGAGTTTCAAATAATGTTTCTCACAAAGGACACAGCTTTCAGCACACAATCCTGGCTGTTGAAGAATCTTGTGCCTATGAAGCTCAGAATGATGACTTAACATAGGCAATCTTCGTATTAACCTGTAGTTGATCCATTGTTCCTTGAAGAATATTGCAACAGAAGAATCACATTCCTGCAAAGCGGAAACCCACTTTGTCTTTTTGAGCAGACAGACACCTTGTCACACAACCTCTTCCACCCTGCCCTGTCACAGGATGCCTTCACAAAGACAGTGCCCATCTGGGCAGCCGTCATCAACAACGCAATCGCGACATTACGTGCCCAGGCAGGTAACGATGCACCCCTGATGGACACTTGGGACACAGAGCTTCACTTACCTCTGAGTGTTGGTCAAAACGAGCGTGCCCAGATAGAGCAGCGCCTGGAAGGCTGGATGCACAGCCTCCACGACCTCGATATCGATCTTCTGTCGGCCTGCAAACACCTGCACAAGCCCCTGCGGCCCCTTTGGATTTGTCCATCTTCAAGGTTGTGGGAGGGGCCTGCTGTGGATCCCTCTCAGCTGAACTTCACACCAGTTGTTCTTGTATCGGTTTCCAGTCAGGATGCTGGGTTGCGAAGGACGATGGCTGTGGAGGACAGTGTTGGATGGCCATATGTCTATGTGCCAGGTATGCAGCCCTTTGCACCCTGATTGTGCCGCCACAACGGCTTGAATCCACTGAGACTGCCTCCCCTGTACCAGCCTCCACATCGTGCTCATTTGGCGATGGGTTATTAAGAGCAGTTTGCCAACCAGAGCAACCAACGGAAATCCTCTTATTCATGAAGTTTGCCACAAGTTTGCTGTGGGACTGCTCTCCCAATATTCAGTCTACTGACATTTCATGCTCCTAGGTGCTGGTGATGATGAGGAGAGTTGGGCTGCTGGTCTAACGCCCGAGCTACTGTGGAAACACAAGCAGGTGAGCTGCAGGCAATTCTGAGGGATATGTCCCTGCAGAACATCATAGCCTTGTTGCCTGCAAACTGGTGAACTTGGTCACTGCCAGCAGAAGTCGTCCCTGTGATTATGAATGCATTGATGAAGTTTTGTAGGTCATGATACTTTTGCTCACGAAATTGCAGTACCAGCTGCTGCCCAGTCATTCTCACGGCACTCTGTTTTCTGTGCAGGATATTGTGTCATCTGGCCCTGCTGCAGTACATGCGTTCGTTGCTTCCATTGCAGATTCCACACGTGTGACTTCTGAGAATGGGAGTGGGGTGGCCACATCCACAGAAACATGCTGCACAAGGCACTCTGGTAGTGATGCTGGAGAAGAAATGGGCGCTACCATGGTGACACACCAGCTTTCCCAATCGTTGGATGGCTTTGCGGTTTGCTGCATTGATGGCACCATTGCCTCTCGTTGCAAGAATGGCGCACCTGCATCACAGAGCAATGCACCCTCCAGAGAATTGTCTGCTATGCTGAAGGAGCCACCCGAAACACAGACTGATGCCCACCACTTGAGGCCTTCTGGCTGTGGCACACCTCCATCAGACATTGACAGAGCTGCTGCATCTGGAGTTGTGCACATGATTGGGGACTTGGGGATCGGCCTGGGTGATTATGCGGCAGGTTCATCTCCATATGTGTGGCAACACGTGGATGCAGTGCTGAACTGTGGGACTCAACGACACGAGGGGTAAGGCATGCTTTGGGCCAGTTGCAGCCAGTGAATCAGCTGGTATATGGTCCTCTATTCATGGCACTTTGTGCACAGTATTCCTTAATGACAGAACACTGCCCTCATACCAGCAAGTCAGTGGCAACAATTACTCCAGTGCACGCAAAGTGTCCCTTGAATGTGCTGCAATTTGTGTTGTCCATTCTCAACAAGACAATCTGCCCAGTTAGCCTGCCATTCTTACACTACTGGCATTCTATCTTGCGTTCAGAAATCTGTACAGGAACTGTCGAAATGACTTTGTGCTGCTTGTCTCCTCAGAAGTACGTGGAATGTGCAGAACTTTGCTGTGCAAATCCTACTGGCACGCTTTCAAGTACACTGTACACAGAGTACTAAATACTCCAGCGCAAGTACAATGTCAAGAGATTATTGGCTGCTGATGAGCACACTTTCCACCAGGATGCTGGGCGCCCCGCATTCAAGCAGGCAGGGAGCAGGGTATGCACCACGAAATACAGGTCCCAAAGGCAAGGATGAAATCACAATGCCGTGTGCCAACACAGTGCCCAAAGATGAAGAAGGCTCTTCAAGTGACCTGCAGCATTCTCAAGACTTGCATCCTGGGCTGCATTGCAATGTGGGGACTGGGCGATACTTGTGGCTGCCGGTGATGAGCTCAAAGCATGACAGAATGGCTCTGAAAAGGGCACTTCCACAAGCGCTGCAGTTTGTGTCTGGGCATCTGGCTGAGGGACATTCTGTGTTGATCCATTGCCATGATGGTAGGGTCCATTGGATGGCGGATAATGTCTACCTGTTTCCCCGGTTTCGATTATTCTGAGCCATTGAGCTAATGCTGTTATCAATCAAATTGTACGATGCCCTTGCCCGGTGCAGGATGGCCACACAGGCGTTTCATTCTGCTTGTATTCTTAATGCATCTTCAAGTGGAAGAAGAACTCGATGCTTGTGTCAATCGGCAGAGAGAATGTCATGAAGCTGTGGAACGCACAACAGCAGGTTGTTCCAGGGCCAATTGGTCAAAAATGTTATGTGCTCAATTTGCAGGGCTTGACCAGTCCGTTTGCATAGCAGTGGCTGTGCTGCTTGCATGCTTCACCCGCAGCACTCAAGGCACAGTGCCACAGTTCTGTCGCCCATTCCAGAGAAGCGGGCCAGGCGGCGATGCTGTCAGGTCTGTTGAGCCAGTCACCAAGGCTGGAGTTCGACAGAGGTTGGCCTACATCAGTGCTCACTATCCACAGGCCCGACCGACAAGGGGGATGCTGAAACAGGTGTACAACTTCTTCCAGCCCGAGTTTCAGGTTGCCCGGAGACTCTGACTTGATTGGGTGTGCAGTTGTCAGGCGTCTCATGCTGGGACAAGACGAGAGCTAGCAATGAATCATTTGGGAATGGGTACAGCAACGCTCAGTAGGTCTGGAAGGGACATTTGGGTTCATCAAATTCAGGCATTGAAACATGGGGTCTTGTCGTTTGTGGACTTTCCCCGCTTGCACTTCATGAAAGAGGCCCACGGTCATGCTTCCCAGATCAAGGAGGAATCTATGGGATGTGCACTGGCAACGAGCGCAATCTGCACATATGAGAGAGCCTGATGCCGCCACGAGACAACCCACAGAGTATTTTGTGACCAAGAGGATGGCCATGCCTCTGATGCCTGACAGAGGTTCGCTGCCCGACTTTGATTCCAAGTGACCCCTTGGCCGTAGCTTGCGATAGGGCATTGCATCATCGCAATCAAGACCAAATTAATGCCACGTAGTCTACAGCTGACAACCTCATGATCAGTCATGGCATTAATTCAGGCGCCATTGCGTGCGTCATCAAGACAAACATCTCTTGATAAGTTACTGACTTGATTCGGGGTACGACTGCAATCGCGCATTGGTTTCTCACTGAACAAATCAGTAACGCTGCCTCTCTCGGGCTGAAAAGGGAGCTGACTACCAACTACCAACCCCTTTCCTTGATATGTATTACATGTTGATTGAGTGAACAGGACATTGCTGTCCTGTCTGTCATTGTGCCTTGTTCTTTAGGGACAATTGCCATGTGTTTCTGCCTGGCGCGCCTTCATTGGCGACTTCGCCACAAGCAGCGACGGCGAAGCACTTGATTGACTACTCTTGCTCTTGAATTTCTCAACATTCCTCGGTGCACGACACGTTCGCCATCCAAAGTCACAATCAACCATCATCACCATCATTCATTGTCACACGATAAGACAAGGAGTTGGCCGTCAGCTATCATGGAGCCAGCCGCCTCCACTGCCTTTGAATCAGGAATCAAGAACTAGAGCATCATTTTGCCCAGATCATCTACAATGGAACATTTGTGTACTGAGGCAATGCTCCTCCATTTTGCCGAAGCTGGCGCCTGCAGCCGCCTCGAAGACAACCGAGCGGTGACTGTGGCCTCGCGGCGAAGGCCCCCAGAGCTACCGCGCGCCCAAGGTCAAAGACGTTGACTCTGATCCTCGCCCACACATTGTCAGTGCACACCCGCTCTGCTTCGGCCGCGGAGAGCCCTACTTCCAAGCATGGAAATTCCGGCTGCTTCCGCAGCTGCAGACACCCCTGGACGTCCCCGACAGAACGCTGTTGAAAAGATAAGGCAAAAGGTGAACCAGGTCTACCAGCCGTGCCTGTGCGCAGCGGCCGTCCTGAAGCGCATCCAGGGCACTCTCGCTTCGACAGAGCAATGCAAGCTTTGGAACAGTTTGATCGAGAGTGTGCCCAGAAATGGAAGCTGGCCATCTGCACTAACCCGGATGTATAAATCCGAATATTGGGGCCGCGAGCCGCGGCACCCAATCCATTCATTTCCAGACACATCTGCCAGCATGGTTGCCGCTTCTCAGCAGATTGAAGTTTGCCCACGTAATTCTCGGTCATTGTGACCTTCCTGTCCGAAGAAACGATGCCCTCAAACACCGAAAGTTGGTGACCAAAAAACCAAAAATTCCATGCCGCTTCTGTGATCGAAACCAAAACACAAACAATGCCCCTGGTGTGAATGCGAAATTCAACGCGGGCTCTGCTGACAAGGCCATCACCTGATGTGAGTTATTTCGCACGAATTCGACTGCAAAGACTTAATCACCATGAAAACTGTGTAAGCAGGTGCTCCACTCTGCGCCAGCCCTTCCATTAGCTTCTGACCTGATCAGCACGATTTGGTCTTGAATGCAGATTGTTGCTCCAGCAGGCTGCCAGGCTGCGCAAGGAAATGGATGGCATGACAGTGAGGCCCACGGCGGGCAAGGGGGACATGGCTGAGATAGTCCAAAAGGAAGAGACAGGTGCTTTTCGACCAAAGGGGGCAAGGAGAAACTCTGTATTTTCTGCCTCTGCCTCCCAGACCGTGAACACCAGGGCATTGCGCAAGAGCGCCACTGTTGGTGCCGGCTCGAGGTCTTCATCTGGAGATTTGCCAACGCCAGACCCGACGTCACGCGGCGGTAACACCAAAGGTCACTGTTTTCGTTCCCCGTTCTGCAGTGCTGTCAAGGATGTGAACATGACAGTGCTCATGCAGTAATGCGCTGAATTGCAGCTGCCAATCGGCCGTGTCGTTTTTTTGAGGTCCTAACAAATGATCGCCCATTTGGACAAGCAGCTGTTCGCGTCGGATACGACAATTGGGATTGCTTGACAGCATCCTGAAAGGCGTGAACGGCGATTGCCGGGCGGCTGCCCGCAGGTTTCCGACTTCAGATGGGTGAATCCAATGCCAGTTTGATGCAGCAATTGTTGGAATGCCAAGCTGAGCAGGAGAGGTTCAAGAAGAGGTGCGAAGACTTGGCGGCGGAGCTGAATCGCCGGCAGGAGTCGTACATGAGGCGGGAGGCTCGACAGAACCTGAAAATCACTCAGCTGCAGTCCCTGATCGAAAAACTGCAGGGGGAGCAGAAGGAAGGGGCTGAGGGCATGCAGTCGGCTGAAACGAGGCAGCAATTCATTCTGTGGGTGGGACCGCGGCAGACCTTCTGCAAAAAATCGATGTTTGCGTTACCGAAGATGGGCATTTAAGGACGTTAGTTGTATTGACATGATGGAAAGAATGTGGATGGATGGTCTTAGAGCACTGTCGCCAGAGGCGAGCAATTTTCCTTGTCATGAATTATATTATAATTGCATTATAATATGCAGACATTATTAATGCAATCGCATATAAATGGTGTAGTTGCTGAGGCTGCATAATGGTGCCTCCATTTTCACTGGCGGTACTCCCAGCGATACTGAGATCAAGGGCCCTGCAAGGACGTCTCAAGGCCTTCGGAGTCCATCCAACAGCACCTGTCCAGCAAAAGCGCAAAATGTGCGGGATGCATGCAATGGCTATAGAAACTTTGTTGAGCCTCATGTTCCTGAGGAGGCTCGCACTTGTCAAAGAGATATTTCATTGCTGCAATGAAATATTTCTTCGACAAGTGCGCGCTGTGAGGAGATGCGGGATTGAGAAGATGCTGCATCTCCTCGGGATATGATTCATTGGGATGACTGGCCGCCATTTCCATGATCACTACAGGCACAGCACAGTGAGAATATACGCTGTGAGATTACGGCTTTTGACGAAAGTAGCCTTCAAGAGAGGCAGAATTCAGTACGAGCAGAGTTCAATATGCATTGCTACTGCCGTTGCGGCAGTTGCTGCGGCAACAAGCAACATTCATACTGACTCTGTCTCAGTTGCTCTGTGCGCCAAGGGCAGCGCAACAGAGCATCACGGAAGGGGTTCAAAATCTGTTGGACAAACAGAAGTCAAAGATTCAGGTGGAGGAGTCGGCTGTGCTTAAGGGCTTCAGGGACCGCCTCAGAGAAGTGGAGGATCGCATTCTCGCTGAGCGAACAAACAGGAGCGGAGAGCAGTCGGGATGGGTGGAGCAAGCGGTGCGGCGTCAGCTGCCAGAACCATTTATGTCCATCGTTGCAATCAGTGCTATGTGGAAACACGAAATCCAGCCCTGATGGCCGCAGCAGCCCTGCAATTGATTCGCGAACAGCAGATACGTTGCAGATTTGGCATTGCAACTTTCTTCTGTCTATATTGTGTGATAGTCAATAGCATCCTTTGGTGCGATATAAATACGTACCAGCCAACACAACGAGATTATTGTTGGCTCCTTTTCGCAATGCAAGTCCAATTTTCCAGCTTTTTTTGACATTGATACAGATGGAACTGCGAGAAGAACTCGAGAATATGAAGGGGATTGCGGGTCGCCTAGAAAGTGAGTACAAGAACAGCCAGAAGGAGTGTCAAAGGCTTAAGACGGAGCGCAGCTGCCACCTTAAAAATGGTGATCTTCAAGCAAAGTGAGACCTTGGGACGGGCATAATTGGTGCGGCTTTGACGCAATGTGCCCCTGCCGAAAATTCTGAATCACTGAAGTACAATATAATTTCCATTGTCTCATTTAGCTTCTCTCAGCGAGTAAACAACATAAAAATGGTGAATATCTACTATCCATCTCGAGGTAACGAATGTGCTGATGAAGTAGCGATAACCATTGCTTCAACTAGGTGGTTGCCGCATTGCTGAGCATCAACCCTCGAGCATCAAAACTTCAGGGATTAAATTGCCAATTGACGCTGATTGTACCAAGAGCGACATAGTGTCTTATCTTGCTGCCGTCGATGCCATTAGTCAAAGGCATGTTTGGCCGTGGGGATGGTGGTCCATAAATTCTGATACTTCTTGCTAGAGAAATTGATTCCGAACCCACTGTTACTCATACTAAGGTTGCAGAATCGTTGGACGGCCCACATCGCTATCTATGGGAGGGCGTTGAAATGCACTAGTATGAGACATGCCACGCGTTAATGCATTTCAACGGCCCTCCCGCTGACGCCGAGATGTCCTCTAGATGGGCCGTTCCGTGTAGGAAGGTTTCGAGGGGGCAGTGGAAAGCCATGGGCCCACTTGTGCCCACATCGGACAGACCCTTTATACATAGTATCATGAAATACCGTTGCATGGGCTTTGTTATACTGACCCTTAGAAATGCGTTAGCAGTATTTTGCGGCAATGGCCCTGAATGTTGCAAAACAGCTTCCTTATTTGCATATTTCAGTTGTCCAACCCATCTAGAACGCAACCAAATGATGAAATTGTAATGATGTGTTTCGTGCCATTGTAATTAGTGAAACCTGATCCAATCTATCTGTGATCAATCTAGGCCCAAACGGCTTTTTCGATTTTGGCGAAACGGTACATATTGCCGCAGTTAAGTCAGGCTAGCATCGAATACTGAGCAGTATTAGCACTAGTATACTTGCACTAGTATGAGTTGTCCATGTGTAGTATACGAATCACAGTTGGTATAAGGTAGTCAATCATATGCGTTTTCCATGCCCTGTGTATCAAAGCAATATTATGTGGTGGTGGGATTCAATTTTCAGCATTGCTTTGCCGGATGTCATATCTGGGAAGCAATACACCTGTGTACATGAGAAATATATATTTGTATCAACGTTCTAATTTCCAAAGCAAGCAAGTACACAAACATTTCCTTATGGCTGTTGACTGTGCTTTTTTTTTGTGAGCAAAGCTCCTCTATTTCGATCCCGCGGCTTCAAAACTTGGAAATTTTGAATTTTGTGGTGCATCTGATGGCACGTCCATTCCTTTTGTGCATGGATCACGTAAGGGCAAAGCAATGCACATGTGTATGCTTATGTGCAATGCGCTTTCACTCAATTTTTCTTTGAATGCGGGGCTGAAATAATGGAGGAAAAATCGGCTCAAAGTGATGGTTCATTCTTTGCTAGGCTATGGGGTATCATCTGGTTGGCGTAAATAGGAAAGAATGCGCAAAATGCATCAAATATGTGTGTTCGCGCTGACGCTACAATCAGAGTCGAAATGGTGGAAATACTGATTTATCATTATCACAGCGGCGATGTCAAAAATTACCAAAATAGTCATATACTTTCAGGATTTAGCGTATCAGCCATTGAAAACTCGGCGATCCGGAGTACCCCTGCCTTCTGAACCACCTTTCCGTTAGATTAGATGCTTAATTGCGATCTGCAACAAAAGCGACGGACTCAGTTTTATTCGTCTCGTACTCAGGCGTTTGGTCGCAGTCAAGAAAGAGAACAACACACTCAAGAGCGAGCTCAAAGCCCTTCACGGCCACTTGCAGACATTGCTTGGCGATTGCGCCGATTCTGGAATCTGTTCAGAACACTTGCGCAATGGTGAACACAAAAACAGCGGTGCTGAAGATGGAAACAGTGTACCTTCAGGTGCGGCGGTCCATACGTGGACTTAAAAGCTAGCGCTCAAACAACAAGAGGTATCACAAATGGCGATTGATAGTACATGTCCCTAAAACTGACATTCTGACATCATGAGTGCTGCTCCCAATAGCATAGCCGGCAGCATCTATGAGCCAATCAGCCACCAATGCGGCCGATTGTATTACATTTGACCGCATCTTGCAAATGCAGACTACTGCAAGCATTGTAAATGACGCAATCTGGAGTTTCGATCGCATACAAGCGTTTCGAGCCCGATAAATTGAAATGAATAAGAATTTTCCGATCCTTCGCTTTTAGCTTTGTATATGTAGCAATGATTTCTGCTGGGTATCAGTTGGATTCCGTGTCAGCATAAATAGTACATGGCACAGCTGCATATCAGGTCATACACTTAGCAAAATTGCGCAATTTTGCGCATGCGATGCTGAACTTACCAACGAATTCACATGAGCTTCGGCTAGGGCTCCGAACCGTTTACACCTATGTGCAATGCAGCGCTTCTAATTGAGGGTAGAGGCAGCTTCCGTCCACTAGTAAAAAACAAGCCAAGCAACACGTGCTCAATCGTGTACAAAGTTTACGGGTTTGGGTTAGTTTCGTTCTCTTAGCATGCCTAACTTTGATGAATTGCGTTCATATGTGCTCGCAAAATTGCTTCTTATTCCATTTCGGCTAGTGATCTTGAGCATATAATCCTGAGCAAAACTCGCAATTCCTAATCAATCCTTCATTGCTCATGCGGGGAGGGTTTGATTCGGGATGCACAATGCATTCTCAGGAGATGAAGGTGATCCTCACTTCTTTCGCTGCATGAGGGCTGTGCTGTTATTGAGGGAAGCAAAAGCGACCATGGAGAACCCACAAATGTTTGGTGCCATTCATTTTCGATATTAAGGCATTTAATTTCTAGCTTAGAATTGTAGATCGCTTGTGTCCTTCATGATTTTCATGGCGCATTCATGACCTCATATCTAGAAATGACAGGACAACCCTCGGAGATCCACCGACATTGCTGGTGTTGCTGTGGCCGTCATTCCCCTCAGGCACAGTTCCGTACTGTGGTTGTTGCACGCATAGTGCATTGGGACTTGACGGACTTCCTCACCAACGAATGTCACAGTTGAATCTAATGTAATATTGAGCCTTCGCAAGTCCCTCGAGGGTGAGCGCCGAAGGGTGAAGGAAGCCACCTGTGCTCACATGTCCGAGTTGAAACAGAAGACGGAGCTGCAGACAATCATGAGGCAATGTGTGGAGGACGTGAGAATTCGAAGAGAAAAGTTGGGTGAGATATTTTGCGGGTGTGCATGAAACAGAATCTTGCGTTGCAGTTCTATTGCATTTATTGTTACATGTTACAAAACCGTTTCATGCCTTGCCATGCTTGAGCTTGAAAATGGGTTTGAAAACACGATCGGGCGAACATTTCCGCCGTTCGTTTCACGTGCATCCTTTGCAGCGCACTGATGCCATGATGACCGAATTGTGAAGGAATATCAAAGCGTCATACTACCATAATGGCCGTGCTTGTCCTGACATTAATCCACAGGTATAGATCTATACTTGTAGATGAATGCCAGGACAAGTAAACTCTAGAGGTTTCCTTGCATGAAAGATGCCGATATTTACTAATACTAGTTACTCAGTAAACACTTTTCACGATGGCCACGCTCGATCTGCAACAGGCACGGAAGCATTCGTTGCACAGAGGGCGGCAGCTCGAACTTTTATTTTGTGGAAATGCTTTGAAATGGAAAATACAGAAGGAAGAAACACCGCAACGGGCTGCCTTTTCGCCGGCAGCAATCACCGGGGACCCTACCTACTACTACTAATGCCTCCGTCAGGAATTAAATGTCCCGACTTTTTGAGAGCATACATGCATCACTCCGTTGCCATTTGTCTTGAAAATACGACCATCGAACCCTTTAGAAGGGTTATGAATGCCCTTAAATTTTTATAGCGAATGGCGGAGCACAACAGATTCGGCAGGACATCGAACTTCACTATTCTGGACCAGAATCTGAGTTGCATCGGTATTCACCGACCACGCCAAGAAGTGGCATCCGGAGTTCCGCAAAGCCCCAGACCAGATCGGGGCACCCTCCCTGGGATTCGCGGTGCCAAGGTGGTGTTGTTGCCAACTCTACTCGTGCACTAGCTCTGCGGTCAGCGTAGGTGTGCCTGGACACCACAAGAAATGGCTGTTGGGTATGTTCCCGCCATCACCAAATTTCTGAAGGTCCGCAGAAACTTCCCCAAGGGGCGCCCTGACATATCAGGGACCCGCCACCGCCAGGAGATTTCTAGTGTCCAGAGACAAACCAGACAGCAACTACGTGCGTCATGAGATCTTCGTTCGCTAGGGATCTCCAACTAATGGCTTGCTTGGTGTTAAAACAACCCCGCTGGAAACGACATGAATCTCGCTGAATGCGACACTGGCCGTTGTGGGTATAGACTTGGATGCTCCGGCTGTTTGTACGCTAGCGGCACTTGCGTTCCGCGTGGGTGGCGTGAGAAATCTCCCGCGAGAGTTTGCTTCAAAGCGGCGGGATGGCACTGTAAATGCAACTTTGGGGAATGCGCGAAACAGCCATTTCTGGCAATGTTCTGGTCTTTGCACAGTGAGGCAACCACAGCCTCCTTCGAAAAACATATTGAAATTCCTAGCGCCGCTATGAAGCCAGCCCACCCACGGAAGCACTGCGATTTCAGTAGGCCGCAACAGTGAATTCGTCCAAATTCTGGATCCCACATCCCCAGGTGAGCATCTCGTTTGCGCGGCAAAACCACGGTGGTGGTCGACGATCCAATGGCGCCGATCCCAATTCGGCACCCTTGCTGCTTCAAGGGCATGTATCAAACCCGCAGCCACAGCAGCGTCCACAAGTATCCAATATATGCCACGCACCATCAGTCGTGGAGACCTTGGGAAACCTCGAATTCAGCGCCCCAGTCCCGTGGGTTCAAAGTACTGCCAAAACTAATGTACATATCTGTTTCCTGCAAAAATTTGGGACAAACAAAAGACTGATAGAGGGTGCCTTTGCCGTATATTAGGAGACAAACAACTTCGTGGTGCAAATGCGAGCTTCCAAACCAATCTGGACATTTAATTCCGGACGGAGGATGTGTTGACCTAGACGTCGGGAGTTTTCCCTTGGCAAACTTCCTGACTGGGTGCCGTCCATGCGCAGAGGAGATCGCCCTGAAGAAAAACCTTAGGCCTTCAAGCGCGCGGACAGCAACAATAGGTCCCGGGAGAGAGGGCCTGGGTACGTCAGCATCGGCGCGCCGGCGCCCGCACAGCGCACGTCCAGCATTAGGCTGTCGCAGACCTCTAAAAGGACCCATGCATTCAAGCCTCGAGGAAGATCGGCATTTAAGTGAGGAAGAAAGAAACCAGGTGGGGTGGCTGCCATGCGTGTGTCCATGAGAGTTTGTTGTTGTTAGACCCACATTTCCGGCTTCCCTACTGGTTACAGAGGGTCGGGACGCATCGCATCGTCCGTGACTGCTGCATGATTTTATTGCTGTTGTAATTGCAATAGTAATGATTGCAATCTCCTTGCTTCTGGACAGTTCTCGCTTGCATCATGCAATAAGCTGGCTTGATTTGCACAACCGCCTCTTTCAGTTGGGTGTTATTGGCTGCCCACGGGTGATTCGGATGCGTGAAGCTGCGCTATATTGCGCTACCATGTGGCAAAGATCCGGCCAGTTGACCACCGTGTGGGCTTGCGAGTTACTTACAAACGGATTGTGGATTTATTGGACAACATTTTTTCCATTTTCTTGGTGCTTTTGTCCACTGAACGTAATTTCAACGAAGGAGCGCTGTGCGTTACTGCACTGTACGATAATATGCTGCGTGGCGCTGGCTGCCTATCGCCTGACAGGAGGACCGTCGCCTGCAACTCCAGGTCGTGGAGGCGCTGTTGCAAAGGGAAGAAGTGTTGAAGGTCGTTGCACAGAGCGCGTTCCCTTCCCCGGATTCGAAACAACAATGTGACCAACGGAGAGCAGACTCGGCCGGTCGGTTGAAGCTTGGAGCGTCACGGCAAAGAGACGGCGTGGCGCAAAATGGTGCTCACCGCGACAGCCTGCGCGCCTTAAAAATTGGGCAAGACGCCATTGCATCTGCATTCCTGTCTGGGAAATGACGGCAACTGTCGTTGAAACACGGCTGATGCCTTCCGACGCTGCGCCCTACTCTATTTGCCTTTTGCTTCTGCGGAGCCCGAGAGGACTGAAAACTGCCAATAGAAAGAAAACGTTGGGAATGGACAGCTCAGATTCAGTTTCTTCATGGGCCCATCGAGATCTGGGTATTCGTGTGTGGACTATGGGAGAGGCACGTTCTGGTAACGAATGCGCTTCCAAGGCTGCCACATTTCGGTGTGTAGGAGACACAAATTCCCCTAGGCACCTTAACTAGTCTGGTACAATTACAGTTCAGGCTCTCCAGGTGCTAATGCATCGGCGTTTCAGATGTCAATGTTGCCTTGGTCGACAGTCATGACACGATGAACAGAACATTCAGAAGCTTTAATTAGCACGTATTTTGCTCCAAACAGGCAACAAGGGGCCCCAGGTACCAGGCTGCATATGGTCCCTTGCCTCGGACACCTCCACATAACAAGCGCGTTCATCTGACTCACCTGATGCTCCCGTATAATAGACGAGAGCATGCTGTGCTCCTCCGCCTATGGTCCCTTAAGCAAATCACGACGCCGTGTCACCACAATTCTGCAACATTTTTGCAAGCGCGTTGCAAGCATAATGTAGAGATACATCGCCGGACAAACCGGGCAAAAAGACCTCATACGAGCGCTCATTTCCTGTGCGCCCATCAACCAAGCCCAGGGCGGGCAGAAAGGCGCCGTGGAGCTGGAATCACAAAGGCTGCACAAAGTCGTCATTTGGATCCACCTGTAACTCCAGAAACCATCCGTCGAAATGATAAGGAACTGTACTGTGAAAAAGCGCCCCTTGCAGACGATAACGTTGCAACTGTTGGCAATGGAAGGCAATTGCCTTGCCAATGTCAGCGATTGCAACGTCAGCAATTGCAACCATAGGAAGTTCTTTCGGCAGTCATTCCAATGATTCCTGCAAGAACTTCTTACGGCTCTGAATATTCCCTAAGCGGCACAGCCAGTTGGAAAATGCCGGCAGTATTAGCCGCACTGCCAATTCGTCACACCGCTGGCGTTGGTACCCGATTTCTTTGTTGCCAGTATTTTCGCACGATGACTATCAACAAATGATGCATCCCAACCTGCGGAGTGTGCCTTAGAGGTGCGTTCGGTGGCCACCGCACGGATGGTGGTGGCATTCTGATGGCACGGATTGTGAAACACCCGCTGTGGTGCTCATGAGCGGAAAATCACTGCACATGAACTCAACACGAGTTTGGGTAGGCTCCCAATTAATAGAAGCTTCTGCAGGCCCCTGGACTCCGGGCCACAGCACCTCATGACCCGTGCATCAGCACGCACTATCCATTTGACTGTTCTCTTATGTAACCCACCGGTTCACCAACTCCACATCTCCAAAACGAGCCATCGTGATTGCCTTCGTTGCATTCGTAGCCTTGGGCCAAATGTGACTCCGTCCATTTGCACCTTTCCAGGTGGGAGTGCATATATCCTTTATGGGACAACGAAGGTTGCCAGAAACCCACGTTGTTGTGCAGGACGCCCTGGCGGTTGTCGCTTTTGACGAGGGTGGCGCCAAGAACACATCTGTGGCGTGCGGTGGGGGCGTGTGCCAACATGTACGGTTGACTCATCGCACAGGCGGCCCACGGGAAGTGTGACATCACCCTTCATGCGGTACAACGTTGTGCTGCACGGTACCACAGCCAAAAGTTGCGGCCCGCAGCCCTGGCGAGCGGGGCGGCACTCGCCCTCGGACACCAGAGGGCCAACCGCGACGCGCCAATGAGGTTTTCACGGGCCACCCCGGGCCCGAAGGATGGGGAAACTGACCCGCAGGGTCCAGCCTGGCTGCCGCAGCGTGGACCACGCCGGCGGACTGGCCCTGCACGGTGCCCCGGCATTCCCATTCCGAAAGCCGATCTCTGCGTCCCTCTGCCCTCCATAAACAAGGACCCCCACCTTTTCAAGCGCAGGTCTTGAGGGCTCTCTCGAGGCTGCCCGCTGCCGACCGATGCCAGCCTCGGCGGCGTAGCCGTGAGCCGTGCGCACTCGGCCCTCGCTGCGCTTGAAGCCGGAGGCCCAAACCGCCTCTCCCTACTCGGGCAATTGGCCCCTCTGGGCGAATCCAGGCACCGCCCCCGGCTTTCCGAACACGCGGCTGCGTCGCATAGCCACTTAGGCGGCCACGAAAAGCATGGGGACGGGCAAGATGCGCGCATGGACAGCGCCCGTGCCCTTCCACGGGAGGCTGGCCGGCCGGAGCCGCCGCTGGCTTGTGCTCAAGTGTTCACACGGCTCGTGTTCACAACGCTGCGTTCTGACCCAGCGCCTGGCGGGCGTCCCGGAGGGTCAGCTGCTCTGCAGGCCCGCAGGGGGGGAGCCGCGCATCTTCGCAGTGAACGAATGGCCACTCAGTCAGCCGGGGGCGCACGCGAGGAGCCCTGTACGCGCTTCCCAGCTGCTGCCCAACGGGAGGTTGGATCATTTGTGGGCGCATTCTCACCACGGACCACATGCAGCGCTGCGGACACGCAAGGTCGCGCTGTCCATGTACAAGCGTCCCGTTTGGTCCCTGCAGAGAGGTCGAGTCCCGGTGTCCGTCCTGGGTGCCCAGGTGCCAGGCACTACTAAGCTCCAGCCGCCGCTGTCAGGAGCGAGATTTACACGTGCACCTCGTGGCGCCTCGGGAAGGGGGGGTATCCTCGGTGAAGCGACGGGAAGCGGGCCACGGCGCTGGGGTGCCTCTGATTGCCAAAGTTGGGACCCAGGGAGCGGGCCGTTTCGTCGGGGCCCGGGGACGTCGGCGATTGACGCCTGAACCACGGCCAGGCAGTTGCGGCGGGCGGCGAAGTTTGGCCGGCGCTGGTGGCGGGCAGGACCGACAGTGTGTGGGCCGCCGGTGAGTGCGAGCGGAACGTTTGTACGCGATCGCGATGCCTTCCCCCCCACGGATGTCACGCGTGTCAATGCGCCCTGGCCGTCGCTGGCATCCGCCGCACCGCCGCCCGATGTCCGTGCCAGATTCTGGAGCCCTGACATGGGAGCAAAAGAGTGAGACGCGAGCCCCGCCGGTAGCTGTTGTCCCAGCCCAGCCTGCACCTCCCGCCGGCGGGCTCCGCGAGGTGTGCTGATGACAAGGATGCAGGCAAAAGGCGTGGACACTCTGGTTGGACGCCAGGGCGGTGATTTTTTATGTTTTGGATTGATTCATAAGATCCTTGCCATCCTGGGTCCACTCGCACACTGCCCCGTTTCAAACTTTGGCCTCGTTCCGCGACCCGCTGCGGAGGCCCGTTTCCTGTTGCGGCCCTGGACGCTCAAGCGGCACTGGTGTTGTCGGCGTTGTGCTGTCACGTACACTGCATGCTGTATCGAATCCAAGAAGTGCCATGCACCCGTCGCGCGCAAACAGAGCTTTGAAATGTCCTCGAGCCCCATGTCCGGAATGGCGACACTGTTGTCCCCTGACAGTGGCCTGGATATGCGTGTTCGAGGGCAAATCCAAACTCAGGTGTCTGAGAAAACTGCTCAATCACTTCTCCAAGGCGCATTGCCCTGGCGTTGCTCGTCTCCCTCAGGGGCTGTGCACGCATCTGTCTCGGCTGTCGCGAGCTGAACCTGCGCAAGTTTGAAAAGGGGGCGAACTCCAACCCGCCTTCCAGCATGAGTAGCGTGCCCTTGACAGTCTGTGGACTCCAATGTTTTGTGGCGGTTCCTGCTCCCAAAATAGTTTTCAAATGGGCACGCAAGTCAGCACGGCAATGTAGGAGAACTCCAACCCGCCTTCCAGCATGAGTGGTGTGCCCTTGATAGTTTGTGGACTCCAATGTTTTGCAGCGGTTCCTACTCCCAAAATAGGTTTCAAATCGTCACGTAAGCCAGCACGGCAATGTAGGAGGACATTGCCTCGACTGCGGTGCAATGTTCTCTTGTTTTCTTGGCACTTTGCACTCTGACTTGCAATTTATGCTCCGTGGTACGTACCTCCCAGGTATTACCTGCAATATGTTGGCTGGTGCCGTCGCAAAGATCCACGAGCGGGTGTTTTGCTTGGAAAACTGTTCACGCATTCCGTTGTCCGATAATGTGCAAAGCGAACTCATTCAGTCAATCTGCCAGGCAACCGAGCGGAGCAACTTACCCTTCCATGCGGCGCGAAACTGAGAAGACAAACTGCCGCCATTGCCGTCATGTCCACTTCCACCGCCGTCAATTGTGGAGCGCACACCCAAACCGCAGCACAATTGCCCCATGCGCGGTTGTCAAACCGCGCTGTTGTGACCAACCCAGTTGACACCCGCTTGACGCCCGTCCATCCCACCACAGCCCTAGGTTCAGGGCGGCATTGCGGGCACACAATGCAGCGCCGCGGCCCCCCGGTTCGGTTCCGTCGCCGACCATACGGCCTCTGTATTTTTTAACGGTATTTCCCCAGCCCCGATGTACAGGTTTCCGATCCTCCGGAGACCCGGCTGAAATGAGCTGAGCGAACTTCCAGCGAACAAACATACAGCCCGGGTTCCCCACCCCCCCCCTCCCCCTTGGGCAACCACACGGCTGCCACGGCCACCGCCCTTGTCAGCCCCTCCCCCCTCCCCCTCCTTTTCCGCTTACCTTGGCCACAGGACGGCAGCTTTACCGGCTTTCCCCTTGCTCCCCCGGGTTGGGGCCCCTGACGCCGGGCCGAATGCTACAGGACGGCCCCCCACTGGGGCGCATGCCGCGAAGCTGCCTGGCGCCGCTGCTGCTCGCAGCGGCGGCGCTCCTGGCGCTCGGCGCGGCGGGGCAGGAGGCCGTCGTGGCGGTCAGGGACGGGCGCGGACTCAGGGATGCGCTGGAGGACCCGGGCGTGTCGGTGGTGTCCGTGGAGGCGGACCTGACGCTGGCGCCGCACACGGGCTGGCCGCGCGGGCGGCCTGTGGTGGTGGATCGGCCGGTGAGCGTCGAGGGGCCGGAGGGCGGCGCGGCCAAGGTCTTCGTGCAGGACCTCTTCATACCGGGGCCCGATGTGGACTTCCTGAGGGCGGATGGGCCGGTCGCCATTAATCTGACTAAGTGAGTGCCCACGGCCGGCAGGGGGGGGATGCACTGATCGGTTGCGGGGACGCGTTGCGTGGTCATAGCCAATGGGTGCCGTTCTAGTGGGTGGTTAAGTGCCAGTTGGGGTATGGGGGAATGAATGGGTGCGAAGAGGGGGGGAGGGGGGCGTTTTGGCGGTCGAGCGCTGGACGGCGGTGGATTGGCGGGTGCTGGCGGAGGCAGGGGTGCGCCGAGCTCGACCGCCAGGACGGCCGGAGCTGGATGCGCTGTGCCGTGGCGTCGCCAACGGTTTGGCGGCCACGAAGCGGGGCCCTTGAGCGCTTCGAGATATCCGTTCTGTCGCACAGCGACTGCCCTGAGGAGCTGTATTCTGTGTTGCAGCATCCATGTCGTCGGCGTGCCGGTGGATCTGGTAACCCCGCCCGGGCTCTGGAACGTCACATTCCTGCTCAACGACTGCTTTCTGGAGCTGTGGAGCAACACCTCGGGCCCCGAGCCCCAGCTGTCGGCCCTGACCAGGTTTCAGAGGCCCCAAGGCTTCCCAGCACCTGATGGCCCCCAGCTCACTACTCCATTGTCACGAGGCATATGCGAGGAAGAGCTACAGCAGTTTGACTGCCCAAATGTGTTTGACTTCCTCTTCCTAGTGGATGTTGCATTTGACTGGAATGAAACGGGAACGGTCGCTCCTGCTGGCCAGGAGGGGGTGCCACCTGGCGTGTTCAGCGCCATGGACACAGCGGCTGCATTGTTCGATGTGGACATAGCCACTGTCAGCGACACAGCAGGCCTTGTTGAGGTGGGTGTGCCAGGGCAGATGCAGAAAGGGGTTAGATCATGTTTCAGTACCACCTGTCTGCCCCATTTGCGCTCGCAGACTCAGCCACGTTGGCAGGTGGGTGCCTGACACAAATTCATGGACTGGACTTGGCTGTGCAGCACTCCAATCTGATGCACTTGTGCATCAAGGATGCGGTGGTTTAGCTGAATGTTGCGTCACAAACAACAAGTCCATACAACCCAACTCAGTACCCTTGATGCAAAACCAGGCATTTATGTCTGCCTGCTCAAACCTCCTTGGGGGCACACATCCGCAGAGGGGTATGATCTTGCTGGGGTGGATAGAGCAACTGCAAAGAAGCACTGTGCACAGTGCCTGATGCATTTGGCAGCTGTGAGTGGCACTTTCCTGCTGTCCTCGTGGCCATGTATGAGCTGAGGCAGCTGAGAGACCCTATAATTTGCAAATTTCATTGTGTATGATGTGGGGGCGTTGTTGCTGTGTGGGGTGAACCTGACTGGAATGTCTAAGAGTATCTGCCGTTTAGCTGGTTAGTTGATAATTTCTTCTATGCAAGTGAGTGTGTTGTCATTTAATGTACTTTTCTATTTCGTTATTGTCAGCTGGACCTTTGCTTGTGTTCCTTTGCTGTTCTTGTTGTTTACGTTGCTCCTTTGGATGCAGGCAATTTCAGCTGATGGCAGGTCTCGATTGAAAGTCATTGTGATCAACGATGGCATCCAGATTGCACAGGATGACATTGATTGTTCTGATGAACCTGTTGAACTGACCACCGACACCATTATTTTTGGAGGTGCGGCATCTGTGCCTCCAGTGAACCTTCTGGACTTCGCTTTTGCTGAAGGCTGCCTGGTGGTGCCAGGCGATATCACTGTCAGCTTGACTAACTTGCTTCTCAACAGCACTCAGTTGAGGTAAGGTGTCTGATATTTGGGCGACTTTTTGCTAATAATTCGATGAACAGTGTGGTAGCTGTCATGAATGGCCCGCTGCCACTGCCACCTCAATGGAAGAACTCTGTGTGTTGCTTGTACGATGCTGCTTGCAAGTGGTCAATTTGGGATTGTGTTCTTGTGCTCTTGCCATGGCACGACGTTGATGGATGTCAGAATTTGGCGGTTTCATTGTCCAAGCCCCACACGATGCTGAGTGCGCACGTGTATGCTGTGTGGGAAGTATTGCAGCTCTCATCATACAAATAGTTTCAAGCTTGGCACTGCCATCTTGCTTACAGTACCAAAGGTTCTCTCCATGTGCGAGAATGGCGATCGCACTGACAGACATAGGAGAGAATGTAAGTGATTTTCTCAGAGATCTGAGAAGTCGTGGGGTAGCCAGCATCGACCCCCAGACCAAGATGTTCTGCAGTGTGCTCAATACTGAAACAATATTTCTGAGTGCCTCCAAGTGCAGCAAGAACAGTACACAACAGTGGGGTAAGGATGGCAATATGTATGCTGGCTTGAATGTGTTTATGGTTGTTACTTGCAGGAGTGTTCCAGGCCAGAATGCTTGGCTGGACCTTGTGCCCTTCTTCGACAAAAGCCGTGGTGCAAGAGTTGACTTGACAAATGTGGTATGGAATTTGGCGTATGAAGCGGATGCACCGCTCACAGCCACAGAAGTTCTTGAAGTGCTTCAGGATCGTGACCCTGTCGATGGTGAGCCTGAGGAGCAACTTGCAGAGCTGAAGAATGGGAGCTACTGCAGCGATGAGTTCATTGGGAGCAGCAGCGCCTGCGTTGAATCGTCGCAGTGTTCTGAGGTATGCACATCCTCTGAACATCCTTGGACAAGCAGTGCTTTTCTACATTCTGGTCAAGATGCAGCATAAATCTTCACCAGACCCTTTGTACCTCGTGTCTTAGCTGGCAAAATGCAGCATTGCAGAGGTTTTTAGGTCTTCTGGAGCCTGCATTGTTTGAATGAGACTGGTGGCCATTTCCCACTTTGTTGGCCTTCTGTTGTTTTGTGTTGTGGTGGGCCATATGAAGAAGCCAACATGGATGTCAGAAAATGACAGGCCTCTGCGGGTTTGTATTTGTAGCTGCCGATGCTGTGGCTATATGTGTTGCTGAACTCGATAATGAAGTGCTTTGCCATTGTTGCTCGCATGGTCTGGGTATGCCATCACAAATTGTGCTTGATTAGCATCAACTTCAGTCATGAAAATCCAAGCAGGTAACACTGTTAATGCATTCAACTGACCAACAGCATTGATGTCTCTTTTCAGCTCACAGTGCAGCAAATGGAGCTGGCTGAGAAAAATGATTGCTGGAATCCTTGTGCACTGTGCAGTTACCAATGAGAATTTGGCTAGTGGATGAAATTTATATTCTCTCCCTCTATCTGGTGTTGACATCCTGGCTGTGTTTCAGCTGAGCACTTGTCCTGATGGAGCGGTGGCCGTTGATAGTATATCTTACACGAGAGGAGGCACAGGCTACTCACTCATGAGCAGCGTCCTTATTACCAGAGAGGTATGCTTCTCTGGGCAATGCATTTGCTCTCACCTGCATGATTTGTATGTCAGTGCATGTGCCGTTCAGCACTATAGTCTACCAATCTTATGTTTAGAGTGTAAGGTAAGGTCTGTTATTGTACTGTGGTGGGTTTTGGACTTGGGAGGTGTGACAGCTAAGCCAGCTGTCAAAATAAGCTTATAAAAGGTTATAGCTGCCCCAGACTCATAAAAGTCATATTTATGAACTCTTGTGTATACAAACTCTCCAAGCAATATTGCCAAAGCTGTTGATGATAAATTTTTCCATTTCATGACCTTTTTGCTAGGTGGAAATTTCGACCTCAAGGGAACACAGTGCCTGTACTGCCTGTGAACTGCTAATCTGCCCAGTCGCAACTGCGATGTGTAAAGCTCTTGCTCAGTGGCGATCGCCCACAAGGCTGCCAATCGATCCTTCACAATGGTGACCTTCGGCTGGCCAAATCTTGGTTGAGCCCTGTGAGGCAGCAGTTTAGGGCCGTCTTGGGGCCACCACCACAACGATTCATGATGTCCGATGGCGACTCCAACACCACCAATACACTGCTGCCAGATAGCATTGTTGCCTGCAGCTGGAGTCGGATGTCGGGTCGGTTAAGATTTTATGCGGCAGTAAAGTTTGCAACACACATCAACTTATTCACAGTTTTTAATGCACAAGAGTATGTGTGCAAATGCATTTCTGAGTCTACAGTATGCATGGTAGTTAAGAATGGCTAAACATGATCTTGAAGATGCTGTATGCTGACAGCTTTCATTGCTATTGGGCTGCAAGACATGTGGATCGATGACCAAAAAACTGGTTGGCTGAGACAGGTCAGTGTACACGTCATTGTGGCTGACTTCTCACAATGTCAACACAGAGGAAGGCTAAGGAAGAAATTGCCCTTGTTCAAGCTGTTCCTTCCTGTTCGCTGTTTGCATGCAGGCAGGGCTTGTTCTTGCACTAACTCTTGAACTGCTGTCGCCTGTCCTCAGGCTGGCACCTTGACTCCTGCTGCACCTGTCCCAAGTTCAGAACCTGTGCCAAGCCCAAGCCCTGCATTGGAGCCGCCACCTGTAGGCAGCACTGGGCCCAGGCCATCACCCAGCGTTCCAACCGGCCCTGCGTCTGGAAGTGAGGGGCCAGTTGATGCCCCACCAGTTAATGGGGACCCCCCGAATCCTGAAGATGATGATGATATTGGTATGACAGCCAGCAATGGTGGACAAAACGGAAGCAGTGGCACTGCTGTCGATTCTGACAATGTGACAAGCAATGAAATGATGGAAGATGGAAAGAAAGACTCGTCTGGCTCAAGTTCAGCTGGGGCTGTGGTTGGCGGAGTCGTGGCAGTGGTGACGACCATTCTCGTCTGCATTGCTGGGATTTGTTTTGGCATCCGGCGATACAAGCGCAAGAAGGGAAAGAAGGTCGAAAGCCAGGAGGACCCGAAGGAGGGCGAGAAGGAAGTGGGTGCTGTTTCGAAGGACCCTGCTGTGCAGCCCACCTTCACCAAATTCGTTGCAGTGGATGCAGACAAGCACAAAGTGGTTCTGGATATGGAAACCGGGGAGGAAGGCGTTATCGAGGATGACGAGATGATGAGCAGGTTTGCACCATATGACAAGTGTGACAAAAAACTAACTCTGTGGTCTTTTGCTTAAACTGTGGACTCTCTGCTTTTCTGGCGTTAGTGCAGGGGTTCATTGACTTATTACATAGGATATCAGCAACAGTATCAGCCAAATGACTGCAGCACTGATAAGATTCCAGTGTGGGCGGTGGTTGGTTCTGCGAGCAGAAGATCAGTTCTGACTTAGCTTCTTGTTTGTAGCTGTTTTTTCTTTGATGCAGTGTGGAACACGGAGCCTAATTTTTCATGGCCAATCTGCTTGGAATTGACCTGGGTGATTGCAGCCTTTTGCCTCATTAGGAGTGAACACATCCTTGGCAAAACGTCATGGCATTTGTCTGCACTGAAATCAGATTATCAGACAGCATCAAAATTGCTGATATTCAGCAATGGCCTCACACTGCTTGTCAGCAGTCTTCCCAGCATCTAGGCCTCAGGAAAAGGGATGAATCAAGTGCTGCAATAAAAAAACTGCAGAGCAGTACACATGCGATGCCAACTGTTCAAGTTGTTTCTGATCATTAAACAACATCAGTATTGCCAGTTCCCAACCAAGACCAGTGCCACAAGAAGGGCGTTGCAGTCCTATGAAGGTGTCAGAGGACAGTGGATTAGTGCAGCAGGCAAGCGTTCTCTATGGATGGATGACTGCATTTACTTGCAGGTGTCACCATTGCAAGGCGATGTTACTGGTTTAGTTTTGGCGACGCCCTGCCTTGGTACTGGGAGTTCCAGCACAGAGGCGTGTTGCTGCGAGTGGCACTGTTGAGGCAGCAGAACTATGCGCCTACTTATCTCCCCTTGGCTCACTTGCCCGGTCTGTGTATCCCCAACCCAAAGAACAAATGGCTATTGCACAGCATTGGATGTTGTGCTGTCTCAGCTATCCTCTTGTTCTGGTGCACAGTATCTCAGATGACTTCTCTGAAGAAGTGGTGAAGTCAGAGCAGGAGACTGCAGAGAAGCTGTTCGACAACATCGTGATGGGGGATTTACTTGGGCAGGGGAGCTATGGCAGGGTGTATAAAGGTGACAGAAAGGGCAGCGGATTCATGAGTGAACAGGGCAATGGCAGTGAAGATGGTGTGGTGGCATGCTTGTGGAGTGTTGCCAACGCACATTTTGAGTTGTTTGACTAGTGCAGTGAGGTTTTGTGGCATTGCTCTTCCCTTTCTCCTCTCATTACTGAGCACAGTCAAGACAAGAAACACAAGAAACAGAAAAGGAGGACAGTAAGGCAGAGCTGCTGTTCCTTGCTATCGATGAACGATTGTGTACCTGGCAGCAGCCTTAAACCACACATGGGTCATGGTCTGTGCATTGGCTTACTTCTGATTTCAAACTTTGCCAGCTATTCTGGTAGTCTGCAGGGACTTCACAGTGTTTGGCATAAAAGGAAACCCAAACCCCACGCGTGTCACTCCACATTAGCTGATCGCATCATTGGAGATCATGGATGCCTTTGGCCCAATGCTCTTTTCCTATTTGTTGAACGTTGTGCGGTGCACTGAGGGTGGAATTTAGTTCGCTGGAACTCGGCTTCGACCCAGTTTGCACACCATGCAAAATGGTGCCCTGCACTCCAAAGTTTTTTATTTTGCAACACAACGATGGTTTGATATGGGCAGTGTGCGCATGAAGCTCACAGCTTTTCGTTGTTTGGTGCAGGCACTTGGAATGGTGCAATAGTTGCAGTGAAGGTCTTCACTCACACAGTTGAGGATGAGAGGTTGGAGGCGTCCATAGAGCGTGAGATCCAGTTCATGACCGAACTCAGGCACCCAAACGTTGTGCAGCAGTTCAAGGCGGGAACACGGCATGTCACCCCCAAGTCACCAATGAAGGTGAGGTGGTGCCCTCAGTGGCAGACATTGGGATGATCAAATGATGGGTGGCCCCCTTCCAAAGTAGGGAGTTTGTTTCCTTTGTATTGCAGACTGTTGTTGTGCTGTGCTGCAAATAGGATGTAGAGGTCCACCAGCACAGCAAGATTGTTACATTTTGCCAACATTCTGCTCAGGAAAAGGTGCTCCATGTGTCAACATGGTTTGTGACCTAATGTGTGTGATATGTAGGCTATGTCTATGTATGTTGCAATGCATGCAATCTGTTATGTGCCGTGCATGTTAAGAGGACAGCTTCACAACAATGGCAGTCTAAGGCATGGCCGATGTGCATGGGACTTTTTGCAGCAATTGTGCTTGCTTTTCCATAATTCATCACAGGACTGGTTTGTTGTATTGCTGCTGGGGCTTGAACAGCTTCTGCTGTGCTTTGCAGCGGCCGAACAGTGACATCGAGGCGTCAGGCCATACAAGCTCCTCCACAGGCATCCACTCAGAGACATATGAGTCGGCGATGCAGGCTATTAAATCATCCCGAAAAGCCTCCAAGGAGACGTGGATGGTGATGGAGTACTGTGACTTGGGAATACTCAGCAATGCCATCAAAGCAGGGTGGTTCTATACAGACGACAATAGGACACAGTTGAACATGGTGAGGCTGACAGTATGCATATGGGTTACTGTTGCAGCTCAGCAGTGCACTAGCAGATTTGGCACAGAATCCATTGCAATTTCATGCAGTTGGGCTTACCATGTGTGGATACCCTGAAGTAGTATCTTCTAAGTGGCCAGATGTTGTCCACATTCTACTGAGGGACAAGTTCCAGCAATATAGTTTCTAGAATCTAACCTAACATATAGCAACCTGTTTGGTCTTACAGCACATCATACTGTCTGGGACAAAGTGCTGTGTCCTGGATCGTGAATAGAAACTGGAAGAGTAGTACCCAGAGCCCAATGGAAGCCAGCCTTGCTCACAGGTACTGGACAGCAGCAGGGTAGCGGGGATGCTGCACCAAACTTTATCACCCTAGTACCATGTTTCAATGGATCCTGTATCATCCATGGGGTATGAGCTGAAACTGTGTCAGTCGTTCTTTTGTCAGTTGGACTGATCAGCCATTCCCTGGGAACATGGTGAACAAATAGTGTCGATGTCAAGAGTCCCGGTCGATATATTGTAGCGGACAGGGCATCCTTTGTTATTTGGGCCAATGGAATCAAACCAGCAGTCGGCATCATTGCGCATTGTATTACATGTGCTGCTTGCAACAGCTGTCCGGACTAGTTGCGTTCTTCTTGTGTTTGCAGGAGTGGGTTGTAAGGACTGCACAAGACATTGCTCGGGGTTGTCAATACCTTCATGAGAACAGGACAGTGCATGGCGACCTGAAACCACACAACATTTTGCTAGCAACGTCCGCTTACGACAATCGAAGATGGGGTGCAAAGCTGGCCGATTTTGGTGAGGGACAAGTGCTGCAGATTGAACTCCTGATGGAGTGTTCCATATTGGAATGTTGCACCGCTGTCCATCATAGTTCTGCACAGACTTCATGGATAGAGATATGAAAAGTTTCTGAAACAAGATTGTGAAAGAGACATGAACAGGACATGGGATAATGGAGTTCAAAATTGTGATAATGGGAATCGTCAAAAATAGTGGTGCAGGTCCCATGCAGCAGCTCCACTTGGTGCTACTGCTGCGAGCGCCTGCACGATTATTTTCACTAACCAAGGCCAGCTTGGAGCGAGGCACAGTGCTCCTAAGCACTGGAACTCGCTGCAAAGGGGTTTCTGTGGCCAGCCAGCACAGCACTGTGCGTTTCAGTGTTGTGGATGCGGATATGCAGAGGCTGATGGAAAGGGATGAGCACTGAGAGCGCCAGTGTGGTTGCTGCTGTGTGCAGGTGTTAGCAGGAGGATGGGAGCAGTGAGTCATATTTACACAAGCACAGTGGGCACCATGGCGTACCTGTCACCAGAGATCCTGAGGGATGGAAAGTTGTCTGAAGGGGCTGACATTTACGCTTATGGGATGATAAGTAAGTGCAAAACTCTGAAGTGGTGCCTGCATCAGATTCATATGGCTTCATGTATGGGTTATTGCTCCACCACATTTGTCATATGATAGCCCAGATGTTGTGCAGAAACAAGGTTGGTGGCGAAATGCATGTCCTCACCAATGTGGTGCTTCCCAAGTGTTCATAGGCAGTTCACTCTTGTCAAAACGCGCAAAGCATCGTGATTTGTAGCCAGACACCTACCTTGTTCCCTGGGTGCGTTTGTGCATGCTCATGTGGCTTGTGTTGGATCCTCAAGAAATGGATGGAGCCAGCTGGTAATGGCATGACATGCCCACTAGCCACGGCTCCAATCTCCGAAACGACAGTAGGACCACAGTGGAACCACAGTGGCGTTA